TTCGTTCAGTTCGCGGAGTTTCTGCATGAGATCGAGTCCATCATGAAGATGCAATTCCACGTCTTGGTGGAGAATGTGCTGATGCAGAAGGCCACGGACCTGGAGTGGTTCAATCGGGCTCTCGGAGCGAAACCCATCGCGGCTGATGCCGCCAGTTTCGGGCTCATCAGCCGCCCACGTACTTGGTGGACGCGGATCGACTGGACCCGGATGACCAAGAACCCGTATTATCCGGACCAGGAGCTGAAGTGGGATCGCCTTGACGGCTTAGCGAGGCTACAACTTGGCGTGCGGCCTGATGATCCCACCTCTTTCAGTATGAAGGGCCTAGAGTTCCACGAGAGTATCGTGAACCACAAGCGGAAGCTGCCGTGTCTTACAACGCCTGCTCCGAGCGATCAGGGCAGACCCCCACCGAAAAAGATGCGGGGAACTGTATCGGCCGCAGCCAAGAGCAGATGGCTCTCGCGCCAGAGACAATATGCTCCATGGGTGTATGAAGATCATGCTCTAGTCTACGAGGCGAGTGGTGAGGGCCAGCTGCTTCCTGCAGAAGTAAAAGAGCAATTACATCATTACCCGGAGGGCTGGACACGCCACGATAAAGTTTCCCCACGAGACCGCCATCGTCTATTAGGCAATTCATGGCATGTCGGTATTGCCCGCTTCTTGCTGGCCCTCGTCTTGCTGAATGCCACTGTGGGCCAGTCTAGTGCCCAGGCCCAGGACATTGAGGAATCGATGGCCCAAGCTAAGGCTCGGAAAATTCCGGTGGCAGGACACATCCAGGGTTCGTGCAGTGTCCCAGTGAAGCCGGCCCAGGACATGTGGGGTCAGTGGGATCACAGTTTGTCGATTCAGCATCCTTTGTTGACCCAGCCGGACTTGGAGGTTGCGGTCCAGCGTACAATGCAAGCCATAGTGACTGAGGGTTCGGATCTGCCTGCCAAGAGAAGCGCCACGCTGGCACAACTCCGATCGTTGCGTCATGAGATGCGAGATGAAACGAATCGATGGTTCAAAACTCTTCCTCAACATGTGGCCAGTGCTTACACGTATGACGGTGACAAAATTGTGCAAATACCATTGCTCATGCGCCTACTCCGAGGTTGTGGCTATCCCGACTGCGATAACCTGGAGAAGGCGCTGTGTTCTGGATTCCCTCTCATAGGAGAGCTCTCCCGATCACCGGGATGGCATCCTCGAACGGATGAGTGGTATGCACACCCCATCACTGAAAGAGTGTTCAAGACATTGAACCAGCAGCACATCCGGGATAGGGCAGCGCAGCAGCGGCCAGATGCGGAATGGCGTGCAATGTTGACCGAGGTACTTGTTGAACGCGACAAGGGCCTCCTTGAAGGACCATTTGAGGCGCACCCAGACTGGGGATTCCAGGCTGTGGGCCCGGATCCAGATGACCGAGGCGGTTTACTGCCGATGGATTCAGAGGTTGCGTATGCGGCTTTTGCACTTAGCGTGGTTCAAGAGGGATCCGACAACCGACGCAAAGTGCGTCGTTGTGAGGACTATCGTCGGTCACATCACAATGATACGGTCAGGGCCTTTGACAAACCACCTCATGATACGGTGGACACTTATGTCAGGATAATCCGAGCTTGGGCCGAGCTTCATGAGGACGCCCAGGTCTGGTGTCAGGACATGATGAGCGCCTACAGACAGTATCCAGTGCAAGAGCCTGCTCATGCATACATGTTGTTGCAGCTACCGCACGGGGTTTCGGTTTGGCGCCATCGAGTTCTGCCTTTCGGCAGTGCTCCTTCAGTCTGGCATTTCAACAGGTGCACAGACGCCATCGTTTGGCTGGCACGATGTTTGGTTTTAGTGCTGGCCCTGCATTACGTGGACGATGTGGGGGGCCCGGAACCATCTTGGTCAGCTGATTCGGCCTGTTCTACTTTCCGCGAGCTTTGTGAGATCCTGGGCATTCGAGTGAAACCATCTAAAGAGCAATTGCCGGCGACAGTACAGAAGGTTCTGGGTGTGCTGATTTCCATTCACGATGATGTCGTACAGGTTAAACCGGACCCCGAGCGTCTGCGGCGAGTCTCTCAGGCCCTCAGTCATTGCTTGCAGGCGGATCGGATCACGCCTGAAGAGGCGTCCAGGCTCTGCGGTAAGCTGGTCTTCCTTCAGTCAAGTCTGTTCGGGATGGTCGGTCGAGCCGCTTTGGGCCCCCTTTACTCCAGAGCTCACGGAGGACCCCGCCAAGCGCTGGAGCTCAATCAGGGATTGAGGAGTGCGATCACAGTGCTCCTCGCGGTGTTGCAACGGGCTAGGCCTCGTTGCATCCCTCTACGTCCGAAGTCTCGGTGCACAAGTGTGATCTACGCTAATGCCTTTTTCAAGCTTGGAGAGAGGACGTGGAAAGTAGGTCACGCTGATGTGAAGCATTGGACCAAAGCTCGGGTTTCTTCACTACAGAACGGCTGGGGCTTTCTGGCGAAGGCTGGAGATCGGATCACGGCCGGGCACGGAGCAGTACCAGCACGGGTGGTGGACAGATTCGGGTCTCGGAAAGCATATATATTCTTTCTCGAAGTTAATGCCCAAATTTTGACGCTGTTGGCCAATCGTCAATTCATTGATTCCTTTTGGGTGTGCTTCATAGATAACCGTGCTGGGAGAGCAGCGCTCACGAAGGGCTTCAGCGGTGATGTTGCCATCAATAACCTTTTAGCCTTCTTCTGGTGCCTTTGCTCCGAGCTCAACTGGTTCGGCCACTTTGAGTGGGTCGCCAGCAAGCTGAACCCAGCGGATCCCATTTCGCGGGGGGTGCTCGATGGCGCCGTGGAGAGGCGCGCTCACTTCCTCCAGGATGTGCCCGAAGCCTACTGGTCCTTGATCTGGCGAGTGGCGGGCAGTATGGAGTTTGCTACGGGCGAGGCCGTCTCCGAAGCGATGCATCTGGAGTTTGCTTTTACATGATGAGGCTTTCTTCAGGGCTTTCTTGCATCACGACACATTGCGGCGAACTAGCTGTGCCGTGCGGTTTCTGAAGCTGCACAGCAGTCCACCGCAACCTTTCTGAAACGAGGGGGAGCTCGAATCCTTGCACACCTCGTGACCACTCCGGATAAAAGGAGTGCTCTTCCTGTGATGCGTGTAGCGTCATGTCGAGTAGCACAGCCATGTGCGAAGGGACATAGAGCGAAGTCGCTGAGCAGCGTCACCGTACAGCCGTGCTGCTCAAGCGACAGAGATTTTGATTTACCCTCCCTCCCGCCCTTATTGGGCACGGAGTCTGGTCACTTACGTTCTTGCTCCTACAGTCAGGTTTGCGGTGGGAACGGTTTCTGAAGCTGCACAGCAGTCCACCGCAACCTTTCTGAAACGAAGGGGAGCTCGAATCCTTGCACACCTCGTGACCACTCCGGATAAAAGGAGTGCTCTTCCTGTGATGCGTGTAGCGTCATGTCGCATGGAACTTCTGCTGACAGAGGTGGTTGAGAACAAAAGCGCCGCGCCAGTGATCTTGCGCGTTGCGGAGACGTCGCAGCTTACAGCTCAGAAACCTGACACTTCAGGCATAATTCGTAGGTCTGCTGACCGAGCCATGCAGGTGGGACACCTTGATCCACTTGGCGAGGCATCGTGCAGATTTAGAGGCAAGCAGCGCGTCGATGCGACAGTTTCTTGGAGAGGCTAGCAAGCAAGCGTACCGGCATGGATTTGGCAAGGTTCGGGGACAAGGAGGTCGCAGAGTGTTGATGTTTGCCGCAGAGTGTGGCCTGGACGATGTCGCATGGCCTGAGCCTTGAGCCGTCATGCGTGCTATGCCCATCCGTGCCCGCATTGACCGGAGCGCTGGCGTGCAACAGGTGGTTGCTGCAGAGCCGTGCCAATCCCGATGCGCAAGATGACAAGGAGCACAGCACAGGATAGTAAGATGTGCAACCACGCGACACTGCCATTTTCTCCGAAAAAGACTGCTTAGAATTTAAGTGTGGCAGGGAGAGACGGCTTTGCTGAAAGCCTGCAACCGCCAGTTCGCGGCCTAGCGGGCCATGTGTGGCATGTCATGGAATGTCCTTCTGGTCGGTTTGCAGGTCGGAAGGACTGATGCGAATTCTTTGGGAGGGAGGCGCCAACACTGAGCGGCCCATCTCAGCTGGCCGACGGCGCGCTTTTCCTGCTGGAGCTGCTAGCTTCTAGAGTGTAGTGCTATACTGAGGGTGGCGATCAAGAAATCTCGTATCCCTGCGCCACTTGCCTAACTCACTCTTCAGTCAGTTGTCGTTTCTGGCGTTTCGACTTCGGGATCGGAACATGTCAAGATCGACCCCAGGATGTCGAGACTTCTGCGGCAGTGGAGGGGGCACGAGGAGGAGGATTGAATTGGTTGAGCTGTTTCTACCTGCAGATGCCGCCCTTGCAGCATCTGGCAGCCAGGCAGGGTTGTCTGTGCCCTCGCCCCTACGTTTTCTTCGTGTGGTACCATGTCCAGTTACGTCTCGTTCTCCAGTGCAGGCCACGACGATCATGTGCCGATGGGATGTTTGCGATCCGCTGATCACTGCGGCCATGCGCATTGCCATGCTCACGCCGCGCTGCGACTCTGCGACCTGTGGCATCCTTTGGTCGAACTTTGGTCTGGTCTCAGCTTCGCACGACACTCGCGACCTCATCCTCGGTTTTGACCAATGACAGCGTGCCACTGTGCTGTCGCTCGCTTGCCTCGGGGAGGATTTGATTCTACCTGCGCCACCCCATGGAAAACAAGTAATTTGGCCGAGCCAACTGCTGGCTGAGACAGCAGAGCAAGTTTGACCCCGGTGCGGCCTGCAAAGCCAAGACAATGTTGAGAGCGGCTCGGGCCACCATTTGCCCACTTCTCCACGGACTGGAGCAGGAAAGTGGAATAAAATGGAGTACGCTGCCGAATCGTGCTGCAGCATGAGTGGCAGCTTCCTTCCTGGCTCGTGACCTCCACTTGGAGATGACTTTTGCAAAGCAGCATACCTTGGTCATCCCGCGAGGTGAACGCAGCGTTGCGTGGTCCTTCCCCGCCAAGGCTTGCGAAGCCCACCTCTTGGTTTGATGATGCTGGAAGCCTGTGGCCAGGCTGGTCTGGTCGCATGTTCCTCTTGCCGGACAAAGGCTGGTCTAAGCATCGGGATGCAATGAATCACGAGCAAGCTGTTGATGCTTCTTCCAACTCAGTGACTGCACAGGGCCTACTCCACAAGGAACGCAAGCGGCGTGATAACAAGGTGCCACCGATGCATTCAAGGTGACAGCTTGTGACAACTTGCTTCAGCCAGTTCCCCGGCATACTTCTGCCTTCTGGATAGAGATTTCCCTCCGATCTGTCTGCTTGTTTCTGAAGTGCATGCTTGATGACTCATGGTAACTGGTATGTGAGGGTCAGGTACGATTTCTGCTGCGTGTGTTGCTGCAGTATCGTTGAATGCAGGGCTCCTGTGCAACTGGCGTCACACCACCCGCAGGCCCCCCTGAATTCACTGTTTTCGGTGCTAGCAGCTAGCAGTGACGAGGAGCATACTTTCGCTCCGCTTTCAGGTTCCCCGCCTGTGCTTGCCCAGCCAGTCTGGCCAGCCTGTATGGGTGCAGCGTGCAGCAGTTGAACCGGGATTCTCAGGCCCAAGCATCGCATCAGTGCGGCCAGAGTTTCGCAGGCGTTTTGCATACACTTTTTGGTCAGTGTTGCGAGGTGTGCCGAGTCCCGTGAAGACGTTGAGCACGTCTTTGCCCCGAGCAAGGGATGGCTCAGATGTCGGGCAATGCTGGGATCGCAAGCATGTTGCCGTTGCCAAAAGTCCTTAGATGCAGCTGTGCTGTCCAGGGACATGCTGAGCCGCTCTGTGCAAGTGGAGCCTTGACTGCAGTTCGACGAAGGGAATCTGCAAAGCCACGAGGACTGTGAGAGCTTGGAAGAAGTCCAGCCTGTGCATGATGCGAATCGTGTCATGCCCGTGGAATGTGGAGCTCAGGGTTGTATTCCTGTGCGTGCTTCGACCCAGGTGCCTTTGCAGGGCTCCTCTGCTCGATGCTAAGACGGTGACTACCGGAAGCTACAAGATTGAAGTTACAAGTTTGTTTCTGTTTCTTCGCGTGTGAATGCAAGGTCGACCTTTCTGCCTCGAGGTCAGGGTGCCCCACACATGCAGGTCTGTGTCAGGATGCCGTCGGGACAGGGTGCTTTTGCAGCAGCACTGCATGGGCCATGGGCGTGGGATGCGGAGGTACCCTGCACATGCTGTGGACACGCTGAGCCGAACAGTGTCAGCCTGCAGGTACTGGTTCTGGCACGACGTAACTTGTAACTATTTCGCAGCATGATCCAGGGCCTTTTTATGCAGTTTGCCACAGGCATGTGCCTGAGCATGGAAGCTTTCGGGCGGCGTCGCCGACTCGACTCGCGCTTGGCTGCTTGGCCAGTCCCAAGGCCGCCTTGCTCACCAAAACTGTGCAAGCTCGCGATTCCGATGGCCGATTAGCTTGGTTAGGCAAAGCCGCCGATCTACCGGGCAGTGCGGCCTCCTTGGATGTTTCTGTTCTTGTGCACTGCCACCCGAAGTCAGTCATGCCAACCGCGGCCAGAGGCCCGTGGAGCAGCGCCTCCATTCCGAAGCGCGCGTGTGGCATGGCCACGATTCAGTCTCCTTTGGCCTCTACCTTTGCTGGAGCTCGCGGCTGTCGGAGCTGCCAGGTTTACGGGAGCCGTGCATCGACGAATGGCACCTCGATTGGCCCAGGGGCGTGCGACAGATTGGGGGAAGCATTGCGAAGCCACAAAGCATGCATGCAAGCCACAGCGAGAGCGAGGTGTCGCCTGGCCGTGCTGGCCCTGTCTTCGCTGCGGGCACGCTGCCGCGTTCTCTGTCGGTGCTGTAACGTTTAAGTTTTGGATGTCCTGACTGGTGACCCGACTGCGAGGCCAGCGAGCAAGGTCCGGTGAGTTTCGCCGAGCTGAGACGCAAGTTGCTGTCGGGGTCGAAAAGTAGTGCGACACCTCGCGGAGCTTCCCCTGAGATACAGTATCTTCTGTTGTTTGTTAAACGTGGTCCTGACCTTGGCTTTCCCGAAGCCGTGAACGCAATAACCTAGGTCCCGATCTCCGTCTCGCTACAGGCAACATCAGCAACACTGTTTACCAACCCATCATCATCATCATAAGCAGGATCATCAGCATCACCAGCATCTCCACCATCCGCACCATCGCCGCCTTCGCCATCCTCACCTTCAGCATCGTTATCAGCCATATTGTGCTCCGACCCTTAGCTCAATTTGGCTCATGCGCAATGGATCTGCGGCGTTCGCAGGCACGAGCAAAGGGCGACTCTTCTTTTGTCCATGACTTTCGCAATGCGACAAATGTGCGATGCATTCGATTCAGCCTCATTCCTTGCTGCAAAGCCTTGCCCCTACCCCTCACTAGTGACAGGATCTCGGCCTGCGCACCGCCGTAGCCGCAGCCTCAGAGCTCTTTCGGCGAATGCAAACTGCCGTGCTGTTGGATTGACACAAGGAGGGGCTCGCCCAATTGTGGCATCAGTGTCTCTCGCTTGTCACGACAGTTGCCGGTCCAACTGTCGGACGAAGACAGCAGCGGTCTGTGATCTCACCGTCTTCGAAATGGATGAGAAATGAGGAGAGATGCAGATTTCTTCTTTCCACCACCATGTTGTGATTTCAAGAACAAACCCTGCGAGACCCCAAACCTCTTCAAACACAGTGCGCATTTTCCCTGCGGCCAGAAGGTCCACGAAGGGGAACCCAAGCCAACTGAATCCGCGAGTGTTCAACAGTTCGACAGCCGCGGGCGAGAACCTCCTCCGCACCCGTTACAGCCATGACTGTGAGTATAGCTGGGCTGACTGCCGCTGTCACTTGTCATGCTGCCAATGCCTATACTTCTTGTTGTCCGCCCGCTGATCGTTTCCATTCGGCTACTATTCGATGTCTCTTGCCATCAGTATTGCCAGTATTCCTATGGTTGTTAGTAGTAGCTCACGACCAAGCTGCAGTCGTCCCCAGAAAAGGCTTTGCAGACGAGGTTCAGGTTCAGGAGCAGGAGCAGGAGCACGAGGAAGAGGAAGAGGAAGAGGAAGAGGAGGAGGAGGAGGAGGAGGTAGGAGTAGGAGCAGGAGTAGGAGTAGGAGTAGGAGTAGTAGCAGTAGGAGTAGGAGCCGGAGCCGGAGCAGGAGCAGGACCAGTAGTAGCAGGAGTAGGCAGCGCAGCTTCAAGCACGGTCACTTCAGTGCTTTGCTGACTTGCTGACTGCAAGCTTTCAAAGGCAAAGCAAACACATCAGCTGTGCGTTTCTTTCTCTTCGTCTCTCTCCTGTTGGGCTGAAGTTTTGTAGGATGTACTCGAAGAGATGATACATGTTAAGAGAGCCTGCAGCGACTGCAGGCACGGTATTGCATGTGCCTCATATGAAGGTGCGGAACCTTGTCCGTGCGGGTGGGTTTGAGGATTCAAGGTCCAGGGGATTAGCTTTTTTAGGCTATGGGATCAAGGTATGTATGAATGTATGGGCACTCGGGTGAAAAGGACGTCAAAACAATTTGTGCTCGGGGAGCTGAGGGAGCGTTACACACCCTGATAAGAGACTAAAGCAGGGGTCAAACTAAGAAGCCCCATGCCTAATCTACTCGAAAACTCACGCCTTAATCTTCCCGGACTTGCCATGGAATCCTCTTGAAGGGAAACGCCCTTGCACCCAATGGCAAAGTCGCTGTAACCCATACACTCAACCAGGTCCATACTCTTCGAGCCTGGTCCAGTAGGATGTCAAAGTTTGGAGTTATGGGTGATCAGTGCACGGCTTGGGGTTTGGGGTGCGGCGTTTGAGAGTTTAGGTTTCGGGGGCTGAGGGGCGAGAGGTTTGAATTCTGGGGAACTGTTATGTTTTTGCGTCCGTTGATCAGATAAGGGGCTGGGGCGACTCTTAGCAACATTAAGATTCCCCAAGGTTTTGGGGTTTAGGGCTTCAGGTGTGGATTTTGGGAATTATGGTAGGAATCCGTTGTGCTGTGATTGAACGACGGAGATGTCTACAGTACGGAATTCCCTAAGGGCCTGCACGAGAAGCATGACTTGAGCTTCAGTTCCGAATCTCCATGAGACGCATGCGCCGAAGAAGCTTCTCGCGGCTCCTTGCTGATTTCTGGAGAGGCGTCGACGTAGTCAGTAGTCAGCGCCACGAATCGGTTTCCACACGAAGCTTTTGAGGTAACAGACAACGAATAGCATCAACCCCGAAACACCCAAGCTCGAAGCCCGTAACCCGAAGCTACCCAAACAACAGCCCTGAATCCTCGACCCCAAGGCCTAGACGATGCGCCTTGTACCTCTGTGCCAGGTCTTCGCCTCTCGCATTGCCTGACGGCCGAATTCCGGCCACCGGAGCCCGTGCAGAAGATGGACGGGGCCTCTCTTCCGGATTGAGATTTGGAATAATCATGGTTCCTCCATAGGCCCGAAAGCAATAGTTATGTGGAGGTATGAATACGTAGTACTATTCCTTCATAGTCCTTATACAGTTGTTGAAATATCACATGCACCCAAACCTTAGTGTAAATGTAAGGTCGCGAAATTGAACGATAAGAAACCAAAGCCCTGTCAACAGTCTTGTTTGACGGCAACGGGCGACCAGCAGCCATCAGCCTTTGACATGCGCCGAGCGTTTTGAACAGGTAGTGTAAGGGCCTTCGTAGTTAGAATGGGGTTGCAGTTAGGCTGCAAGTCTTTAAAAGCTGTTTCATGATGTATGGCCTTACGAATTAAAATGCTAGTTTTGGGTCGTTTTTTTGTCTGTTTTACGAGGTCTCTTATAATATGATAAAGGGATAACGTTATTGAGTATTCGGGCCCTGATAGAAGGGTCTTGGGCTTTGGGTCCTTGGGAGTTGGGGGTTTAGGATTTGGTTCGATGACTTGGGTCGAGTGTTTTCTGCTCGAAGGGCGGATGTTTTGTATGGGCGTTCGGGTGAAAAAGGAGGTCAGAACATTGTGTGCTCGGGCTCAGGGAGCGTTACACACCCTGATAAAAGACTGATGCAGGAGTCGAACTACGAAGTCCTATGCCAATGCCCTATATAATCTACTCGAAAACTCAAGCCTTGAATTTTCAGGGACCAGCCATGGAATCCTCTTTGAAGGGAAGCGCCCTTGCAAGCAATGGCGAAGTTGCTGTAACCCATACACTCACGCAGGTCCATACTCTTCGAGCCTGGTCCAGTTGGTTTTCAGGTTTGGATGGAGTTATGGGTGATCAGTGCACGGCTTGGGGTTTGGGGTGCGCCGTTTCAAAGTTTAGGGTTCGGGGGTTGAGGAATGAAGGGTTTGTGAATTCTGGGTAACTGTTGTGTTTTTATTTGCGATGAGAGTTTCTTCCAGACTCGTAATATTAACATTCCCCCAAGTCCTGTAGAAGTGCATCATCTTATGCACCGGATTCGGGAGGCCGGCTATCGGGTACAGGGTTCGAGATAAGCCCGGACATGAGGCCTAAGCCCTCCAAAGCGTCGGGAAGTATCGGGTCACTGTACTCCAATGCCCGTCGGCCCGGGTCTACCGCCCTACATCAAAACCCCCGGAGCCATAAACTGCGGACACAAAATTAATGGCATAACCGAAATAGTGACTGTTGCTGCTGCCCCAGGTCGTGCTCTCTTCTCGAGCTGGCTCCGGCACATTCGAGGGCACAGATGGTGAGAAAACTCCTCTGAGTGATTGCTGACACTTTTTATCGTCACTGCCACTTCACCACCGTCAATGTGATTTGTACCTCTCCTTGTCACCATGGATCTTTCTGGATGGTCCGTATACCGATAATCATGAACATCGTCATCATTATCCTCATCTTAGAGCCTTTATCTACTTGCTAATCTTCATCTTCACTTTCATCTTCATCTCCATCTTCGTTTTCATCCTCATCTCAATCTTCTTCATCATCGTCCGATCGCCATCTCCATCTTGATCTGCGTCATCATCTTCTCCACGTCAATGTCGCTCTCCTTCCCCATGTTGATCTTCATCTGTGATCCTGGTATTCATCTCCAGTTCCATCTTCATATTCATTTTCATTTTCCGTTTCATCTTGAACCTCGCACTCCATCCTCAATCCCATCTTCATCATCATCTTCATCTTCGTCGTCATCATCTCCACGTCCGTTTCTATCTCCATCTTCACATTCATCTTCTTCTTTGCCGTGATATCAATCTCCATCGTGATGTTCATCTTGCTTCATGTTGATCTTCAGAGCCACAGCAGCAACATCAGCAAACATCCATGTTTTGGAAGCTGGTTGTGCGTGGTGCGGTCATGAGGCAGGAGGTTGGCATAAAAAGGCGAGCAGGAACAGAGTTCAAATGCATAAAAACGAGGCTTAAGACGCACGCTTCAAGCCCAAGCCCATTCCAAGCCCACCCACAGAGAGGCTGTAGGTTCTGGACTCCAGATTTCTAGGCGAGCTACGGAGCCCGAAGCCAGCAAGGTGCAGCTTCGATGACTCGGCGCAACATGCAGCTGTGTAAACTGTAGGCCCCCGAACTACCCGGAGACTCCACACCCCCGAAAATGAAGACTCTTGCTTCAATAGCAATAGGGTCTCTTCAGAAGGAACCCTTAATGCAAGAGAGTTGGAGTACCGTTCTGGCCGGTGAATGCAGACAGAAGGGGGCACATGCCACTATTCAGGGTTAGCCATGGCGCAAGAAGACCAATCGAAGTTTCAGACTCTGGCTCGGAATCTCAAAACCGCAGACCACTCAGCTTCAGGAATGTCGGTGTAATCATGGTCTCAGCATGTGGCGGTTGGGATGCTATGTGCCGGAAGGTCGTTCAGGCACCACTGGAGTACGATGCGGCCCGGCTTGAGCATCTACATCTACATGAGCATCTACCTTCGTCCCCTCAAGTCGTTCAGGTTGGGATTCCTGGCGAAGCCGAGACAGAGGCGGAGGCCGAGGCTGCGGAGCCGAGGGTTTGAACTACTGAACTGAATCGAACCGCGTGTCTCGCTCCGGGGGCTTGGGCTTGTAGTCGATGTTCTTGCGGTCTTGAAGAGCAGGAGCTGCAGATCTTCGATGCCCCCTGCGGCAATCACGTGGGGAGGCTGCAGATTACAGGCACCGTGCAGGGCTATCCTGCAGGCCGGGTGTCACAAGCTCTTCTTGCCCGATTCTCGACATCCGTGGGCTATGGTCTCAAGGTGACTGGCTTCACCTCACGCGACAGGAAGTGGCACGTTTGCAGGCGTTGCATGCGGGGGATGAGTGAGAAGTCCACACACTCTCCGCCAGCTGCATTTGCATCATGAGAACGCACGTTGTAACAACTGCGGGCACCCTTTAGGTAAAACGCACTGTGTAGCCCCGATTGGGAGCCGGCGGAGACGATGTCGTTTGCTTGGACAGCACAATGATTTTCTGGCAAATCTTGGAAGCCTTTGACCCAGATGAGAGCTCGCCACTGTATGGTAAGCCGAAGGTCATTCTGGCGAAAACTGTGGGCATCGGTAGGTGGCACCTGCATGAACACCTCTGTGGGGAAGCTTTTCAAAAACTCGTGCTTCGGCTGGTGCTACAAGCGGTCTGCTCCCCATCAAGTGTGCTGTCACGGTGACTGCGGCTTTTGTATTAAAGACGAAGTCAGCTCAAACTCGGCATGCGCCAACAACATTGAAATCGGCAAGACATCCTGAGCTTGTTTGGCAGGCTGGGCCAAGCTGTTCGATAGTTGTCATCGGAGAGGATCTGCTGTCACACAGTTGACGGCAGATGCGTCCAGGCTTCTCGTGACGAACAACGGTTGGCAATCTTCCGACGGCCCGACCCTCTTGCTCATCGCGACTTTCGTGCCACACCGCGCTCTCCTGCTACTGTGAGTCGAACTCCTGATTTTGAACTGCAAGGGTGCAAAGTTTCCGGAGGGCGAAGCTCGTACACTAGAAGCAACCGTCCACGAAAAAGCCAGAGACGGGACCCGTTACTGAACAGGTCACATCCGACCAATTAACACAGAGCGCTATGGTCGGCATTCAGTTCAGTCAAGTCTAGTCGCCAAATCCGCTTCTCTGATGGTGTATGCAGGCCCAGTACCAGTACGGAATCCAGCCATGTTCACCAACACCATTTCAATCTTGGCTTGGAGGGAGTCTTTGACGTCAAAACGCGGGAGCTCCGTCCTGAGAAGTTACCGTGGAAATGCCGCTGCCTTTGGGCCATGCCGCGGGAGAGCTCTCTTCGCAGGGGGCGCCACATGACATAGGCATCACAGTCAGGTGCCTGGAATGGACCGGCGTGGACTCGTGTTCCCACGCAAACTTCGTCACGCACACCTGGTGGAATTTTGTTTCCATTGCATTGCAAATTTCAGTGCGCATTCTCAATTGAGAGCTTTCAAAACCCAGAGAAGCTGCATTGGCTTTGAGAGCTCAAATCCCTGATCTGGCCAGGAACAGGGGGCATTGGATTCCGACCTGCGAGAAGTATGGGCAGCGGCCTTCTGTCTGTGCGTGTGTGTGTGTGTCCGTGCACCTGCCGCCCTTGTGGTTGGTAAGACCTTCTCAACATGGCTTGGGCATGAGGTGCGCTTGGATCTTTGTGCCCGAGTCCTCAGCAGATAGTGCGGTTCGACTTGCTAACTCACCCATCCGCGTGGCTGCTTTGCCTGCGCACTCAAGCACCTGACTTCAGGCCCCCAAGCGTGTACGAGTATTCCCTCGTTTGGAGCTCTGTGAAGTGCAAAGGTACTGTGTTGGGTCGCCTGATTGAAAACCTAGGCTGGGCACAGATAGATGTGGAAATGGCCTACCTGGAGGAGCCTGCCGCGATTTGTCGGACGTGACTCAGGCTGACAGTCTTGCAGGCCCTCGAGTTTTCATGGCCTGGAATTCCCGGCGAGTTCGTGACATACACAGTGCAATGGAGGACGCATGCTGTGCTTGCCCACGCCTGGCATCCAATGAGGCGAACTGGAAACTGTCAGGAGCAGCACAGATGGCATCCCCGACGAGAGCCAGGCAGTTCGATTGTGCGTATGAAGCTCTGATGCATGCATATGCGGCGCACAAAGACACAGGGACACATGCATGAATGCATACACATACCCATGCATGCATGCTGCATGCCCGGCAGAAAACCTGGCAGGCAGAACCGGTCCAAGGTGTCCAGGAGGCCCCGGGCTCACGTCTGTGTGCAACGGCCAAGCAATGTACCGTGATTTTGCTGCGACTCGCTATCAACTTCCGCATCTCTTGTCTCTTGTCTTGGCCCCACTTGTCCATGTTGCTAGCGTCTAGCGTTGGCCGCCATGATGAAGAGACTGCACGGGCTCATACGACGGCCCCACCGACAACGTCATGTCCTTGTTCGCCAACTTGGATGCTTGTCGGCGGAGCGTGAGGAGTGCGAGGATCTTGTGATCGGCGCCGGCGTTGTCGGAATCTGCACCGCCTACAGCCTGGCAAGACAAGGTCGCCGCGTCAAGGTCTTGGATCAGGGCTCCGGCCCTGCCCAGGGCTCCAGCTGGATCAATGGCACCCTCATCTGCCCATCGCTAATGTTGCCTGGTTGCCAAGAATCCCAAAGCAAACAACCCTTTTCTTCGCTCCAGTTACCCCTCAGCCCCAAAGGCCCAAAGGCCAAAGCACTCCTCAGCCGAAAAGCTTGCGTCAGGCTGCCGTGGACTGGGCCTCAATTGATCCCGAAGGTCTTCAAGTCCTTTTATCAGCAGGGGCATCCACTGAAAGTCCATCCCAGAGCCCTCTTATCTTCCGATACATATTTCTTTGGGCTGCACTACCTGGCATCCTGTCGGCCAGGTCATGGCAAGAGGACCACGAGACGTCTCGCGAATATGGCGCGCTACTCCCGGCACTGCTTGGAGGCTCTGCTCCGGAGCCATCCGGAGCTGAACGGTTACATGGATCGGAAGGCAAAAGGCACCCTTCAGGCCCGGAGGGTCGGAAAAGTAAGAAAGCAGCCCTTTCCGGACATCCCTAGGCAGATGTCCCCAAGCCCTGCATCCACCCCCGAGGTCTTTGAGGACAAGGCAGCCATGCAGGCGTGTCTGGATGCATCCGAGCAGATCCAGCACGCCGGGGTTCCGCTAAATGTGGTCCAGGACGAGAACATGACGGGCGCCGGCGACAACCTCGCCGAAAGGCTGCGTCGGCAGGGCCTCGAGGCACTCTACCTCTACTCACCCCTCGATACCAACGGGGACTGTGCGAAATTCACTCACTTCCTAGAGCGTGAATGCCAAGAGCTCGGTGTTGGCTTCGAGTACGATTCTTCCGTGCAAGGCTTTCAAGAGAAGAGTGGGCTTTGGGAGGTCGTGTTGCGAGAGCAGAAGCCCATTCGGGCAAGGAATGTAATTCTTTGTGCCGGTGTTGGCAGTCCTCGATTGGCGAGCATGCTTGGCCTGCGATTGCCGATGGCTCCTGTCAAGGGCTATGCCATCACGGTCCCACTGAAGCCTGGAGTCCAGCAGCTCTCTTCTAACGTTGTCCAGGATTCAAGCAAGCTGTACCTTGCACCTTTGGGCCCTGATGTGGTTCGAATTACTGGATTCGCTGAATTTGCAGGGTTCGATTCCTCTGTTGACCTTGATCGGGCGACCATCTTGGCAGCGCAAGCGGAGAAGCTTCTGCCAGACTGCACCTCGCATCAAATCTGACGTCGTAGAGCTGGGGTATTTGGAAAAACACTTGTAGTTGCAGCTTTTCAATGGATATCGTGCTGGTGTTTGCCTATGCTCCTATCTGCAGTTGTATTGCGCCGTGGGTCGTAAAGCGTCAAAAGGCTTCGGTTGTACGGTGATAATGCATGCATTTCTGTCAGTTTCTGTTGTGTATTGAGAGGGAGTTTGATGGCCAACTCGACTGGAGCCCGTGGAAAGGAAGACGCGAGTGAGATTTAAGTTTAGCAGGAGCCGCAACTGGTTTGTCTGTTGTTTCAATTAAGGTTTGGATTGGGACCGGGCTGAGTACCACACTGGCCTGCGTCCTCTCAGTGCCGATGATGTCCCCATCATCGGCGAAGCGAAGCCGAACTTCTTCTTGAACACAGGGCATGGTTCTAAAGGTCAGCGTGCGCCGGCACAAACTAGTAGCATGTGACAGTGTGTTTCGGCCACATCATGCGAAACAGCCTCCCTGCGAAGGCTGGACACATGCAGCCGGAAGTGGACAGCTGGTCGCAGACCTCATTGCTGGACGCGAGCCATATCTCGATCCCGAGAGTTATAGTCTGGGACGGTTTTCTACCTTACATCAAAAAGATGCTCCTTACAACTTCCATCTTGAGACAGTCGGTCTCACTCCCTAGAGTTACCTTCAGAGAGCACAAAAAGCCGCGGACGGGCAGTTCTGCGAACTTCCGAGATGCTTTTGAAAACGGACAGATGGGACAAGTCGTGCCGGCAGTCTCATGCGACGGCATCCCGTACGTTGTCATGTGCCCGGGTTGCCCAAGGACAAAACCGGGCGTCATGATGTGTAGATAGGATTTTCTTTTAGGTCTTTTGGCTGGACATCCTGCTGGCCAGCAAAAGTATCCTCAGGAATTGCCAACAAATGCTTCGGTCATGTCCATTTCTCTCAGAGCATTGTTGGCCTGAGGAGATGCAGACGGAGGTCGGGCGGCTGCAGCGCTCAAGGGAAGATTGAAACACAGAGGAAAGAAATGCGGTGCTGCGCTGCAAGGACGGTCCGAGGCCAGGCGACTTGGAGTGCGCTCCCCGGGTCGAGCCGAGCCAATCCTCCTGTCCGTTCTGTAGTCACCTGTGGTGCGGGCTTCGGGGGACGAGGTGCACATCGTCACGTGCGTTAGTGCACGGCCTGCCCCAGGCCACGTGCATCCAGGCTCCACGTGTGGGCAGCAGCACGAAAGTGCCACAGTCGTGCCGCACGCAGTGATGCAGGTGCGAGTTCTTGCTAGCGTGACTGGGCCACAAATCGACTTCGTGGAGCTGGAGATACTGGGTCCCTGGAGCTCCCGCTCTCAAAATCTCCAACAGTGCGAGTTTCATGTGCCCCGGCGGCAGGACAGAGATTCGGACGGCCTCGCCGCTGCCCGGAGAAGACGTGAAGGACGGAAGGTTGGAGGTTTGACCCTCGTCGCTCCCATCCGCTCAGCGACGTGAGGCTCTTGGAGATCGTGACCTTCTCGGAGGCTCCGAGAGCACGAATCTGCGATGTTGAAGACTATCTCCAGCTTGAACACATCCTTGCAGGCTACCGAGGTGGATGCCTGCGATCCTCGTGCAGTGGAGCCGCCCTTAACAGGGGACGACAGCATGACCTTCCCTCAGCGAACTTGCTCTTCGATGGCTAGCAGGCTTCTTGGCTGCGACTACGCTTCACTCAACACATGCTGAGCAATGTCGCCGCTGCGGCTGCTCGTATGAGGAACCTTCTGTTTGTCATGCAGTTGCGGGGCACTGGCATGAACCGAAGCGTCTGCGGCGAGCATCGTGACATGTTGGCTCCTCTGCAGGAGCATATAGAGCTCGAAGGAGAGCCTGTTCCAGTCAAGGAGCGCACGGTGAGCAATTGCAGGGGCTTGTGGTCACTGCTTTAGATGCGGAGGAGGCAGACATCTGCAAAGTTGTGTGCACTCAATTACTGGTCACGGTGCAGTTCTGTAGTTGAGGCTGGTTGGTGTCAAGGTGTTGGGGCTTTGGTATGCTTTGGCCCTTCCGTGTAGATACCGATACATGCGCCGCATCTGCTTGATCTGCCTCTCTCTCGTATGAGGAGGAGCAGATCTCTGCAGGCCTCTTTGGCTGTGGGCCGTGGGCACTGTTGATACGGGGTCTTGCTGTGTTATCGCGTGAGAAGTCTCGCCAGGTGCGGACGCGCAGCAAGAAGCTTCCGAGGTCATCAGAGAGCCTTGCATCACAGAGTTGTCGAGCGATTTGGGGCTGCAAGGCGAACAAGAACCAGCCCGATGCATTTGATCCTGACGGCTTCGTGCAGCAGGAGGAGCAGGACCAGGAGGAGGCTTCTGTCCTTGCGCTGACATGATGTTCACGGGAAGCGCGTACAATGCTTCAGATGGACCAAGGTTGAATCTGTCCAGTCGGCAGCTGCCGAGAATGCCAGCGATATGGAAGCGGAAGAGGCGCGTGCTGTGCAAATCTGACAAACGAAACTGAGCTCCGTCCGCCGGTTCGTGCGCAGAGTAACAGGATGATGACAGGATGGGCGAGGAGCTTGTGCCAGAGAAGGCCCGAGATGCATCTCTGTGGTGAGCGGCATGTAGCGGGCCTGCGCTGAATGGAGCGTCTGCCCAGGATCCCACGGAAGGAGAGGCGAGCACAGAGGCAGATGGACGTTGCCAGGAGGACCGGAACGAAGTGAACGTCTCGAGGGAAAGAGTGCAGAGGAGGGTCTGAGTCCTCATGGACACGTGTGAAGGATGTGGATGACAATGACAATGCCCGTTGGGAAGACTTCCTGGAAGCCGAAGATGGCGCGCCTACCAGCCTTAAACCTTAAACACTTCCCGCGAAGAGTCTGGATTCCCTCCGAGGCGAAGATGAGCCTCAGGTGGAGGTGCAAGCCGACGTGGTCGAGGCCTCTCAGCGACTCAGCCTTGAGCAAGACAGCTTCGTAATGGACGTGGAAAATCTACGCAGGGCATGGAGGACTTCACCGGGGCCCAGATAATATCCTCGGTGGAGGCGGTGAGCCCGTACTTGCTGAGACGCAGTCGTTGCGAACAGGATCATTTTGTCATTGTCAGTCCGGTTTGGAGTGTACAAAAAAGCGGATGCCAAGTTTGCTAAATGATCCATGCAAGACAAGGCCCCAAGCTGATGGCTTGCCACGGCTTGAAGCCGAACGGCGCAAGAGAGAATAAGGACAAGCAAGGGCCAATATCGGAAGACAACTTCAACCACTTCCCCGCTGACAATGCTTGTTTACTTGTAGCAGACCAACGATTGCGGTTCAGCTCGGTGCGGCATAGGGAGCGCTACGTTTCCGTCAGCACGATCACACCCCTACCTCCTGCAAGAAGCATGCAGTGGACGGATAGTGGCTGCACTGGACCGCATGTGATGGGGACGACATGCAAACACAGGCACCCGTGCAGTCAGACATCCAGCCGGAGCAAGAAAATCTTGTGGAGAAGGTCGGGGCCTCGGACCCAAGCAAGAGATGATATTAAGACCGCTATGCCGCTATGTGCATCCTCGTGTCGGTGGCAAAGGTGTTCTTCTCGCCGACAGCAATCAACGTACTGTCCGCACCGTCCGCATCGGCTTCTTCAAGAGGTGCGAGGTTTTCTCAACGCGCCATGCGCGAGCTGTGTTGTTGATGTGTGCAGGACTACTGGACTCAGGCACCATGGTATCTGGATGCGACTCAGAGCAGATACAGTCCATGACCAGAGGTTTTGTTCAAGCCTTGGCTCCCCCGTGACTCTGAGGCTTGAAATCTGGGTGGTTGAAGCTGGACGAGGAGAGTAAGGAGCAGCTGCTCTTGGGCGGTGAAGCCGAAGCCTGGATCTCAGTTGAGAGCTTGGTCGAGAAGGAAGCCAGGACCACAGAGGACGAGACGAATGGCAGGGAGTACTCATCCCGGCAAGCTGAGAAATTGCTTGGGCAAGGCATAGAGTATCGTGCGATGCGCGAGTTTCAGTGCTACTCCAGTCCATCAGAACTTGGGGAGAACACGCATGGAATGGCAATCAACCAGGGAGAAGCTTTAGTTGGCTATCCCAGTCATCACCATTGGATTCGCCTGGTGGCCTCGGAGACCAATACTGAGTTCATCTCGCACTGGGCCTGGGTCTTTCAAGATCCTGGAAGTCCAGCGCTTGAGGCGTCCTGGAGCCGACTGAAAGTCTCCCAGACGCCCTCTGGTGTCCTGCACCTCAGCTGGCCTGGTCTGGCAGTTTCTCCATTGAGTACGGTCTACTATGCTCTGGAGTGGACCAAGCGTGGTGCAGACATAGCGCTGGGCTGCGGTTTGACTCCCCGCCCTGCTCCCTGGCTTGGCTTTCATTTGTTAGGGGGTCCCCTCTTGAAGCGGGCTCTGGTTTTGAAAAGCTTGAACACTGAGGAGTGTACACTCGTGACATGTCCTGCGGAGAAACAGTTTCGAATAAGCCGCGGACTCAGCGGGGGTTGCCACGGAGATGTAAGAGTCGGGGCCATTTCTGGGATGTGCTCTTGGGGCAGCCGCGTTGGGTTTATCGGGCCTGGGGCCGCGGTTGAGGTGCCTTCGTGAACGGCCAGGAGAGGAGTTTGCACATCACGAGCCCCTGGCAGTCTGACTTTGTCGTGGAGCAGTGGCTGGAGCCGCCGAAAGAGGTGCAGATGTCTGAGACGGCCGAGGCCCAGGAGGCGCAGCTGCAAGCGGAAGCTGAAGTCCCCGTCACTTCTCCGGATGCGGCGGAAGCGGCTGAAGCAGTCGAAGACGAAGCCGCCTGCCCGAAGGAGCCTGAAAGCGTTGCTCCAGCTGAGAAGATCAGCACAAGCGTTGACGCTTCGACGGAGCCTGCCGAAGGCAGTCACACCACGGAAGATGAAGCAAGGACGATGCAGCCTGGGCAGAGCTCCTGTTTTGAGGTAGTGCATCGTGGCGGCGTTTTCCTTCGTGAAGCTCAGAGTAGTGAGTCTGCGTCGAAAGGTCGGCTGGCCTTTGGGCAACGCGTGTTCGGGGTTCTGAGTGGTGAGTGGCTCCAGGTTGAGAAAGACTCGCAAAACGAAGCGATGGAGGGCCCCATGTACGTGCTGGTGGACGGCAAGGACTGGGGCCTGGGAGCTCTCCTTGAAGAAGTGACGCTGGAAGCACCGGCGGAAGCGGCAGAAACGGAAGCAGTAGAAGCGGAAGCAGCGAAAGCGACGGAACCGCCGGGCTCGGAGCCTCAGCGACCCGAGCCTGAGCCTCAGGGCGAAGCGAGCCCAGGCATGCCAAGCTCTGAGACCAAAAAAACAGGGCCTGCTCAAAAAGCTCGCCAAGCAGCCATACGCCGTGCAGCTATGGTTGCAGAGGAGGTTCTGGCGAAACCTGTTGAATACGTTGTGGTAGCTGCAACACCAGCATATTGTGAGCCGGCACCACAGGCACTGCCTGCAGGAGGATCATTTCGTGCGGGACAGACGGTCATGGGGTTTCCTGGCAATGCCAGCTGGATTCGGGTGGCGTCAGCGGACGCTGCAGGCGAGCGTTGGGCTCCGATCAAAAGTGCTGGCTCTGCAAAGGAGGTTTTCCTGAGTCCTGCCTGGGCACAGCTGCAAGCTGAGGAAGTCTTCAGTGAAGCCTTGGTGGTGAGCTGGCCAGGTCTTGCAGCGCCCAAGCCCCCGTATGTTGCGGCCTACAGCATCGAATGGAGGCTTACTCCGGGCGAGGAACTGCCCATCGGCGCAGGAGACGGAGAAGACTTCAAGAAGAGTGGGTATGCGCTCAGTCTCCAGCCACGTGCCATGGCGGGCACTGACAAAATAGAAGAAACTGCAGTATACTTGCCGTAAGCTGTAAACTTCATCGATGTAACTCTTTGCCAGATCCTACATAGGCTTGACACAATTTAGCAAAGCTCAGGTGCTACCCTGCATGGGTTGCCTCCGGGCGCCGCAGTCCAACTGCGAGCTGGAGTTCGCGTGGCTGCACAAAGCGCTGGTCAAGCGGATTTTCGGCTGATGGGTCCTTGGCAAGATTTTACAACAGGCAGCCCTTTAACTGAAGAGGAGGAGGCAGAACCAGCGAGAAGCATCGATCCCTTTGGTGCGGCTCGCGGAGGGTGCGAAAGTAGCCAATGCCGTGGCTACGTAGCAGATTTGGATGCGATGGCTTCGGTCGGTGCCAATGCAAACTTCTTGGTACACAAAGCGATTTGTGTGCGGTGCGGCAAGTCCTTCGAAGCTCACGAACGTATCGAAGCGTCTGTCTCGGCAACACGCCGAGGCAGAGCGGCAAAAGTGCAGGTCGCGAAGCTGTCTGAGCCTAGCTCGGGTGGGCCTCCCGAGGATGACGAGAACCTAAGAACCTTTGAGGCCTTTGCTTTTTTTGCATGTCTTATAAGTGTGGTACAGGCAGCAGGCTTTAGGGCAGCTGTATGCAGCTGTTGTGCAGGTGGTGCATGCAATGGTCTTTGTCCGTGACCGTGCCAGCGTGAAGGGCAGGCCATCGGAAGAAGCCCGGCTGAACTCTGTCAGTCCCTGTCAGCTTTGCACGAGGACGCTGGGCGTCCTCAAATCAGGAGAACGTGTCCGGGGGTGGCGGCGTTCAGGCAAGAGCGAGTAGCTTGTCCATGCCGTTTGTCACTTGCAGCAGTGCAGCGCGAAGGGTGGCTGCAGTTGAGCCGGACCAGCTCGCTAGACGTCTCCAAAGAGATTCGGGACTGGGAGCTACTGGGAGTTTTGTGCTCTACACAAACTCTGGAACAGAACTAGTCCCTTTCACAAGTGGCCCGGTCTTTTTGCCATGGCTTGTACTCTGGGATCCAAGGGCTTGAGCACGATGGATAAGTCTAAAAGAAAGAAGCGCTGAACCATCGGAGCAGAAGCTCAATCGTGCGACACTCTGCCCTCGGTTGCCCGTGGCATGTCACCAGACAGAACAGAGACATGTTACACTACGCGCGACGAACTCATTGCAGGATTCATGGATTCTGATTCACGGCGCCGAAGTTGGGCTCGGAGCTTTGGCGCGCGTCTACACAGGCTTTGTTTCGCAGTTGCAAACTCCAAGGCTTGGCCAGCTGATGCAGGAAGTGAACGAGACGGCCGTGGAAGCCGCGCTGCATGCACAACGCAATCGCATGCATGCACTGCTGCATATGAACATGCACGGGCAGCTTTTCCAAGCTTCGAGGTTGGCCGTGGTGGTGCCCAGGGCACAAAGCAGGTTGTCCCCGTGACCAAAGCCAACGGAGGCCAAGCATGTATCTCATAATGCCGGCTTCTGCAGAGCTCCGTGCAGAAAGGCTCAAGTGCAGCGTCATCTTCGAAAGACCGGAACCCAGATCTGGCAAAAGCACACTGACTCTGACGATCCAGCAGGCTGTGCAACGCTGTGCATGCAGACGGATCCAGGCTGGCCAGATGGCTTCTATGGAGCAGGCTGCTAGAGACACTAGGCAGGGCACAGAAGCGTCTTGCGGATCGGGTGTGATGTCGACTCCAGAGCAGGTCTGTCCTAGAAGTGCCGATCCAGTTCAGCGTGGTGGGTAGCGCTGACCTTCCGATTCGGGCGAAGCCCTCCTCCGAAGAAGCACAGGCCTCCTCTGAGTTGCCCAGGGCCCAGGGGAAGCGTGACACTATCGACCCCGAGCCTTTTCTGAGGTTGGCGCCTTGAAGCCTGGTGCTGCTGTGCTGGGGTATCCCGTTGGCGAGTGGATGAAGATCGAGGCAAGGTGCTGGCATGCTGCATGCTTGTCCCATCCTACAGCCTGGCCGCAGAGGCATCCACAACAAGCCAGTGGGTCCGCCCGCCTGCTGCATGCACAGGAGTGTTTTTGCGCTTGGCCTTGTGAAATCCGGGTGCTGCTAGGACTCTTGTTTCCAACTTTTTGTGCAACCGGACATCCGGAAAAAGTGGCTCGCACCAGCTTGTCCAATTGGTACCGTAGTCACTTGGGGCAGTGGCGCTCGGTCAAGAGCCTGGCCCTTAGCCTACTGTTACGGAACACTCTCACGCTCTGCGCAAGCTTTCTCGTTCAGCTCCAAGAGGTGCAGCCTTCAGCTTAGCACTGATGGAAGATGGGGAGATGATTGTCGACACCGAAGGCAGGATGACGATGATGATGCTAGTTCCATGCAAAAAGTGCATGAGTCACCGTGTCACACTTCCGCTGCCTTGGACAGGCCCGGGCAGGCAGGTGAGGAAAAGCGAGGATTCGCTCTCCTTGGACACGTCAGACCGTTTCCAGGCAGTGGAGCGGGGTGGAGCCTCCCTCAGGCTCGAAGCGTTTCGAGTCGGCGGCTCTTGCAGGAGCTCCTGCAAGAGCTCCTGTCTGAACACCGCCTCCGGGTCAGCGAGCTGCGAGAGGCGCAGCCTTGTGTTGCCTTGCGCTGCTGCAAGCGGAGCGCTGGCAATTGCAGCAATGCCACAAGTGCTGTGCGCGAATGGAAGAGGCGAACCTACAGTTGCACCAAGAGATCTGTGAGCATCACATGCCGAAGCCTTACAGTCTGAGATCTAGTCCAGGACTTGCCGATTCCGATAGCCCCAAATCCTTGCTATGGCAGGAGACCTGGTAGCGAGGATGCAGGCGAACCGAGTGTACCAAAGGCCCGCCGAGCTCATGATCAACACTGCGCAAAGGGCATTGGTTGGGCATGATCAGCATCTGGAGGAGTTTTGGTCCCATGAGATTACCACGCCACCACCGTCTACAGGCGACAGCCGTTTGGAAGCGAACCCGCACTGACAGCATAACTGTTTTTGTGCAGCCATCGATGATGTGCCTTTTGCTGCAGGAGCTGGCTCACCGGATTCGCACAGATTGAGGAACCAGCGAAAGGTGCCCATCCCTGCTGCAAGTGAACCGTACCGTGCTCGGAAAGTGGCCAGCTGCGAGGTGCCAACAAATATGTCGTTATACCCCCATGACTTGGAAGCATCAGATGCCCTGTCGGCGGCATCCCGGGTGAGGACCCTCGAGCCTGGGGAAGTGAGTGTGTGTCTGTGTGTGTGTGTGTGTGTGTGTGTGTGTGTGTGCATGTGTGTTTCCCTTGTCGTGGCCCGCTTGCCCATGTGTACATGCTTTAGACCAGACTGACCAGACGATGTGCCTTGTTGTGCTCCGAAGCTGTGGTTCCATGAAGACGCATGTTCGAATGTATTATGGAGCATCTTAGCCTATGTGCCACAGCTCCGGCATGCTGCCTGCAGACTAGTCGAATCTATTCGAGACTTGAGGGGCGCTTTGAAATCTAGAGGTTGTGAATGGATTGGACAACTGGTTTGTCTAGCAACGGCCCGTAAACCAGAGCTGCCGAATATACGAGCACCATAACTTACTCCAGGCTGCCTTCGAAAAACCCTGAGATGTCCATGCTTCGTGTTCCACAGGACAAGCAGAGATCCTCAAGGCTTCCGGCGAGCCAAGACAGATATAGATGCGCTTATGCAGGCCTCAGACCGTTCTTCTCTCTTTGAGCAGGAGCCTGCGCACTGCAAAGTGCTTTAGAGTGTCGTATACAGGCTACGGACAGCAACACCGACGGCTTTCACCTCAAGGCCGAGCTGGGGCCGAGCTCTGCGGCCAGTAGACTATGTATAGATGCGAGGATCTCTTGTCAGTTACTTGTACCTCCTTTGTCTATCAAGGCAGTGTGGACGGACTATTTGGACACCAACAACGACATCGGCACCTGTCTCAGCTCTGTTTCGGGCCTCATCCAGTGCAGGGCAGAACTCTTGCGAATGAGGAAATCGGTTCGCCAAGGATGCAGAGCAAGACATGTTCTTTGCCGTTTAACAATTACATGGTTTCGTAGTTCTGAGGCAGTGGCTTCCAGCACTACTTCGCAGCCATGAAGGGAGCCAGGACAGGGAGTGGGCTGAGGCATGGGTTCCAAACCACACGCTATCCGTCGCTACTTCGCAGGATGGACAGGGACAGTGGCCAAAGGGTGCCAACCAGCCCCCTCAGACTGATGAGAGGTTCGCGACGTGCCTCCGGCGCGTTGAAGGACCACTGGTCCGTCGATGAAGGTCAATGAAGGTCCTCTAAACCCAAAGCGGCTGTGTGCCATGCAGGTGAGCTGATGAACTTGGCAAACGTGGCCAGCGAGGCCCTAGTCACATCTACCCTCAACCAGGTCAGACCTCGGATCCTTTCGTGCAGCCAGGAGAGATGGAGACGCGGCCTGGCCATTGTAGCGAAGCAATGCAGACCAGGCCAGGATGGTAGGATGAAAGGGAGTTAACGAGGCGACTATTCGAGCTTGAGAGATCCAGGCATCATCTCTCCCAGTGGCACCTACCGGATGTTCTGGGACCTGCTAGGACACCGTGTGTATCTGTGTGTCCAAGGGTAGTGCGGTCACCTCGCAACCAATTAAGCGTAGTCTTGCTGCCACAACAAGGATTCCGCATGGCCGCAGGGCGAGCTTCCTCATTCAGCATCCTCCCTAATACTCTCTCGAAAGCCAGTTGGACATTGGACCAGTGGCATGTTGTAGGCTCCTTTCATTTCCCCTTCTCCCCACCATAGCACGTGGCAGCCGATCGTAGCGACCTCGGGCAGGACTGTTGCTCATCCTTTACGACACAGTCACCATCCCACTGCAAGTCTTCGAGATAAGCAGAGGCCAAGCTCGCAGAGCGTAATGAGCAGCTTCGCGAGGGTGCTGATGCTTGGAAGCTACTTATAACTCATGTGCGTTTGCAGATCAATGGTCCGTAACGATGGACTGGGTAACACTCTTCTTCTGGCGCTTGCCTCGTCATGCACAGTCCCTTGACAACGGGTCTGTTGGCAGTAGCCACCCGACCGAGGACCCTTGACATGTTCCAATCCTTCTTCACGGGATACTTCCAGGAAGGCGTAAAAGTCATGGATCCAAGGCCCGGCATCACGGCTTCTGCCCTTGTCGCCTTTCACGGCTCTCGCGTGACAGGCGAATAATCAGGAACTATCTGAGAAGCTGGTTCTGGCTCGACCTGCTAGTCGTCGGGTGGGCCTGCATATCAGCTCGAGAAAGCTGGGTCCATCAACCGCATGCATCAGAGGCCAGAGTGGTTCACGTCAATGTCGCCTGATGCAGCCAGTTCCCAAGAAAGATGCGTTCTGACATGTGTTGTGATCCCGTCAAACCGCCTTGTCCCTCCAGTTCGGCTTGGATGGCGTTGGCATCGGACGAATCCTACGTCTAGGTCGAGCCATGCGCCGATGCCTCAGTGACTCGCATCTGCGATCGCATGCATCGGCAGGCATCCGCAGGCCTCGTAAGTCCTCCCCAGGAGTGCTCCGGTTGCTCCGGCTTTTCAAGCTGCGACGCATCGTCGATGCCCTGCTGGAGCTGGTGGAGAGTGAGTGCGCCGCAGCCTGTCGTGGCCTGCCGTGCCTTCGCGACTCCGACTGCATAGATGGTCTATGATTTGGGAATTTTGGGAGGTATGCCTTCACCATCATCAACCTGCTGAAGCTTTTGTTTGCCGTGTTGGTTGCTGCCTCAGCAGGGCTCAGAGGAAGCTTGGCAATGTTTTTTCCCCGCCGAGGTCCTAAATCATGTCATCGCATGCGTGTGGTGCCCCCCATTCTTTGAGTGTACCCGTTCTTGCTCACTTGTACTGTGAGGTCACCAAGTCAATCGAGCGCAGTGCTCCGTCCACATGTTGATGCCGCCAGGTATCTGGTTGGGAAGACAGCTGCAAACATGGGGCAGTACAGCTGGTTCGAAATGAGTCAGCTGCCGAGACTGTCTACCTGCATTTCCCTGTGCGCCTGTGAACTGTGCACGAGGCGGGCACTATCCGAACGACAGCATCTACATGTACTTCACTTCACTGCATTGGTGCCGAGCCCAGAACTCTGCAGATACGAGCATGCTTGAAATTCCGGTTGTTGTCGGAACATGAGCCACCATCTCATGGTGTGTCGTTGCGAACGTGGCACGATGTAGCACTCTTCTGCTCTGTCGTTCCCTCACGAATAGCTGGAATACAAGTTGTCTGGTCATGGGAGAGTGATTTCACAACAAGGGACGTGCCAAAGAAGGTCCCTTTGTGTCCACCGCTGCCTCCTTGAGCCTCTGTCGTGATGTGCTGTGCAGTTGTTTTGGATGACACACGGTTCCTTCACCGAAGGCAGAATCTTGAGCGGGGACTCTCTTCACGACACTTCGGGCAGAGTTGCGGGAAGAAGACTCTCCTGTTCAGACCAGAAGCGGCCAGCAGGCAGCACATGCGGCAAAGTGCCGTGTCATGTCAAGTTCCTGGCGATCTTGTGTGTTGATGGACAGACGAGCAGAACACGACTTCGCTCCCACGATCCGCACGCCTGTTGCTTTTGGTGACCTGGGGACAAAGTGGCAGTTCTGAGCCTTGGCCGGTCGAAGGAGCATGATTGGATGCGATTTGCTCTCCGGTTGCTGCCGCCGCAGGTCCTTGTTCTTGTTGAGCGCGTTGGTAGCGTTTTGCTAACTCTGCGGACAGAGTTGTAAAGCAGATTTCGTTGGCTAGTGTGGTAAGCAACGCTGCAGCCCTGGAGTTTGCACCAAGCGGGATTCAGGGCTTTTGTCTATCGCATGTGCCTTCATTGCTCCACCTCTTCTCATAGCGGCAAAGCGAGAAATACAAAGTTTGCGACTGCTGTGTCACTTGGCAGTAGAGAATGCTGGTGAAGCAGCTTTGCATTGCTGTGGCTGTTCGATGTCCAAGCAACTTCATGCGAGGAGCTTGACGCAATTCACCCCAGCATCGTCTGCAGCCAAGAGAATTCGAGCGGCAGAAAGGCAGTGATAGTGATTGTGATTGTGTGCTAGCTCTGGGATGCGCCGAGGATGAACGTTTCTGCAGCCAATACAATGGAGCGGATCATGTCCATTTGTGTCCTTTTCTTTGCGATGGCGGGGTGCTTTGCCGTCTTGCTTTCTTGGTATAGTTCGCGTGATACTTTGCGCCACTGAGCAGGTGGCCTTCTCGTCAATCGTCGGGCACATCACTGTCTGGAGCTGATGACATGCGGAAGATCCCAGAGAGTCTGGCTCGATCTGCTCTGCCTAGGCTTCCATGTCGCATCTGCAAAACCTTCGTGCCTGAATCCCAGCCGTTCTACTGGACTTCGGCGGTAAGTACTTCCTGTGTGGGTCGGATACACCATTCGACCTGTTGCAGGGTGCGCAGATGAAGCAGTTCTGGATGCTCCGACGCTACTTGAAGCAGCGCTGCATTCGCCGAGACTTGCCATGAGCTCAGGAAACAGAAGCATCAGTAGCATCCTGCCCAGATCAGATGCAACTGTCTCTGCAAGTGCTGCTTCTCAGCGAGATAAAGATCCAGGCAGCTCCGAATTACCAAGTTTTTGGAGTACAAGGCTCGTGCTCGGTATGCAAATTGGAAAGCCAAAGCACGTCTCTGCTGCATCCCCGATGCCTTGTCAGACGCAGAAAGAGCACGATCTGGTGCATAGCAGCCGGCTCCTCAAAGGAGTCTTGACTGGGTCAACTTGGCCTTTGAAGAAATCAGGTAGCGTGGTGATCTTGGATCAGCTCTCTGAGCCCCTTCGTAAAGAGTTGTCGTGTTGACCTCAGGCCATGCCGCACACCTTGTTAACACCCATCACAAACTGGAGGGTGTGGTGCATGCTGCTCTGCTTGAGGTATGAAATCATGATACAATGGCTGATGTCACATCCGTTCTTTGAAGTGTTAAGCTCAAAGATGCCGGTCCTCCCGTCGAGCTTTGTTTGACTTGCAGGGAAGGTGGAAAGTGTTCGGAACATAGCAGTCTTTGCAGTTTCCTTGGCAGGTAATCATGCACAGGCTGTGCCATCTTGCTCTGACGGAGATCGCCCTTGCGTCTTCCGACGTGGTCTTCACTGCAGGCCGAGTAGAGCTTGAGGTCCATGAGGCATTGCCAGACACAAGTAGCACATGAAGAAAGGTCACGAAGGCAAGCAGATGCTCTTCGTGAAGCACGGTGAGCTTGAGTGCGCTCCGTTACGCTTCGCTGCCAGTCGGTTGTGGTCATTGCCCGCCAGCAGCCACTCAGCTGCTTTGAGAGTGATACTGCCTTCCAGGTACATGCGGCTGGGTCGCGAAGTCCTCGACCCACCATTGCTGCAGAAGGAGCACCGTGGCCTTATTTCTGGCGGGCCTGAAAAGGAATCATGGCAGGACTGGTTTGTGGAAGCTGCGTTGTGGGTGTCATGGCGGCACATGGGAGACTGCAGAGTGTCCGGCCCCTATCGGATATTTCGCACAGCTCCGTTTTTTTTGGAGTCTTGAGCATCAGATATGAGAGGCTGTCACCAGGCGAGCTCATCGCCATAAGGCCATCCTGCTGCGGTCATTGTATTGCGAAATTGGTGCAGACATGACCGGTGTGGTGTCTGCCAGCAACGACGTCTTCGCCAAAGAGATGCGCTTGCATCACCTGCGGGCACCCGAGTGTGTTCCAATTCGTTTTGCTTGTGCCTTGAGGCCGCTGTGGATCCAAAAAACACTCGAGTCATTTCTTCCTCGGATGTGAGCAAATGCCGCACCTGCCACGGAATGCGCTCCAGCGCCTTTCGGGGTAAAGAATCGGCTCGCTCTCAGTGGGCGTGTAAATGCACGATAGTGGGCTCCCGCGTTGCGGCCCAACACGGTGCAACGGTGCAAGGAGACACTCCAGAAAACTGCAAACATCCGGGTCGGTGGACCCCATGCTGCCACGTACGTGTTCAGCCACATTTGTTGCGAAGGGGCCTGTATCGCGCCACACTGTTGATGTAGTTGAAGGTTACAGAATCCTGTTGGCTTGAGAGTTGTGCTGTTCAGGTTCCGTGCCCTCTTGGCCCTTTTCGTGTGCATATCTGCAGTTCTCTGTGATTTGTAGCTTTCGGCGCATGCCCACATACTTGTAAAGGTATGTAGTTGCATGTATAGGCTCACAGTACACGGGCATATGGACGCACATCAGATGAGGCCCTGGAGTTTCTGCAAGATGTGACCCTTGCTTGCCTTTCTTCGTGTAAGAGATTCAAACTGCGCTTTGGATGTCTCTGTCCTTCAATCGGCTTTCGAGTGAAGGTACGCCATCCGATTCTGCGAAAAGCTGAATGCAATCGAGCGAGTCTGGCAAGTTGGGAGACCGCTGATGTGCCGACTCACAGACAGAGCTTTGCCAGGCCCAAGGACTTGAGCGATGTGCTTCGCGAAGAGACGATGCTCACAAACGTTACTGTCCATGAGGCACGGAAGTTAGGTCCATGCAGCTTTCCAAGTCCTTTGCTGTCACACAGGCAACGGAAGACATCTTCAATGATGCGGACACGGGGGAGATGCAGCAGCTGGCAGCGTCCAAGGCCGAACGAATCAATTTCTGCGTCTCAGGGATGCCGCAGAATGGCGTAACTGGAACTTGTCCTTGCGAGGCAACGTGACACTCTGGACTGAGTTGCCGAGAAACCTTAAACCTGGTGCTTCTTGAAGTCGTTCGTCCTGTGTGCCTTTTGCAGTCAGTGCCGTGCAAGCTGTTGGAAAGATGACCGATCTCTTTTACTCCGGTGAACCCCTGCTGTGCATCCGTCGGCATCGGCAAAAGACGCCTCTTCTTCTTCCGTCGGAGCTTTCTGCTAATCGGCAGGGAGCGTCTCGAAGAACAATCGTAGAAGCTTTGAACACTTTTCATGGTGGTGACTGTTTCCTCGAAGGAACTCACCTTTAGGCCTTCAGTTCTGTCTGCATCCATGTGCAGACGTCGGAAGCTGACAGCTGCTACAGGGCTTTGATGCCCAATATCTCATTTGTGGCCTGATTCGCAGAGGCTGGAATGCTTCAGGACTGCATCCAGCTTTTTTAGGTCCTGCGAGGCTACCGCATGCGAAAGGAAGGCATGCCATGTCATCAGTTTCACAAAGATAGAACCAGGGAAGTTTAACTGTTCGATTCGATTCGCTATGAAGTAACATGTCGAGAACGAAATAATGACAGCTGGTGAGTGTGTCTGTGGGACGCAGTAGAAGGTACACAATTGAGCCTGCTGGGCACCGTTGAGCGGCGCACCGGCAGCCATTTCTCGTCCTTGGGTATAGTCGGATCGGCCGAGCGGGGCAAGCGTAGCTTCACGCCGCGTGCTACAAATCACCGGTATTCTTGATCCTAGTCTTCGGCCAAAAAAGTCGCGGGATGAGAGTTTGGCTGCGAAGATGCTGTCCGCGCTGTGCACCATAGAAGCTGGACTTCCTTCGTCAGGTACAAATGCAAGATCCATCTGGGACGCCGGGGTTCCCGCGCTGACATGGTGCATTCAAGTCTGTTGGCCCGCGCCACTTGATGGGGCCGTGTTGGGTTAGGGTTAGGGCTGTCTTGTGCTCTCCCAGAGTTATGATTAGAGAGATGTTGCCAATGCAACTGTTCGAAAACATCTGAACGGATACCCTCGGGAGTGCGAGGCACCTGGTGCAATCGTGGTCTTTCCTTACTTTGGAGAAGGACAGGTGGAGATCATGCCGCTGCAGTTTTTGTTCGCCTTTGCTTTTCAGGCCTTTCATGAGGCCTTGCTGCTATCCTGGCCAGGCCTGGCAGCGAAGGAGGCGCGGTCAGTGCTTGGTTGTGGAGGAAGCTGAGATATCAAGTGGAGAGGCAACGCGCTACACCCTTGACTGGCAAGTTCAAGGCCTGACTCCGAGCCACGGAAACCATGGAGCATTTTCAGCGACTGTAGGTCAGATAGACAGCCTTTTTTGCTCTGCTACCGTCTGGATTGCCAGAACTTTCCATCTTTCCACGTCAACGCCTGGATTGGAGAGACTCGTTGTGAACGTGAGTGCACGTAGGTGGTGGGAGCGGCAAGCTGGATGTCGAGCTTGGGCAGGCCTGGGCAGATCTTGGCAGTGTGCAAAGGGAATGTTTACAAGGCTGCTGGTAGCACAAGCAATGGCAATACAGGCTTGAGAATTCCGGGACGCCCTGGTGTGTTGGGATGCTGTAAAACTGCGTGCTGGCGGCCTTCTATATTGTGTCTTCAGTCACGCTCACCGATATCTTTCGCTTTAGCTCACACGACTTGTGCAGGCAACCACGCTGCTTCCAGGTTTGCCTCCGGGTTCAGCAGTGCGGGTGCGAGTCGCCTGCTGAGTTCACATGCCATTACACACCGAGGGCGTCTGCTCCTGCAAGATGCATCAAGATGCAAGCCGTTGCCATACCAACGCTGCTTAGGTACGTGCTGTGGTATATTCCGCGAGAGATCCACTTGGCATCAAGTGGTCATCCCAGAGACTGCCCTCAGAAAGCGTCGTAGGACCAGACACACACACATGCCTTGAAGGTTTCAAGGAGACTGGAAGGAGTTTCTTTGCATTCAGAGCCAGACGGATGGCGAGGCGCAACTGCAAGTCGGCATTGCCTTTTGCTCGCATTTCGCAGCCTTGAAAGCTTTGCTGGAGGATTTGACTCCGGCAGACCCCGGCCTGGATTTGAAGGTGGTATTCAGTGGCCTTTGTGCGCGGCTGAATTCCTTGTTTACGTGCGAGGATTCAAAGGCAGCAGACCTCATGCAGGAGGACTGACACTAGCAGTATGCCCGAGAAGTGGAGAAGTCTGTGCTGCGCCAGAATGCCCGAGCCGCAAGTGTCCGCTGTGAATTCGCGTGCCTCAGGAGCAACGTCTCCAGTCTCCACCGGCTAAAGCATCTACTGTCGCGACCCTGTGCAAGACCACGAAGACACACAGTCAAGTGCAGAGAGCCCTTCATGCGTAGATTTTCATTGCGATGGCGCCTGAGGTTAATGCCGTCGAGAAGTCACCGGCGCAGAGTGCGAGGCCTCCCACACCCAAATCATCAATGGTGGTGACCATGCGGAAGGATACCTATGCTTTCAGGTGGCAGACGAGTGAATTGATTCACCAGGTCTGGCCACGAGAGCCAAGCGTCGAGCACAATGAGCATGTTGTGGGGAAAGACCCAAGAGGTCGGCGATTTTGAACAGCACAAGGTGAAGAATTCTCTGCATTGCCAGGTCACTTCGGGCCAGTTCCAGGTAGCGGACTCTTGGCCCAAGAGACTCGGAAGGAATGCTTACAACTTCGACAGGTAGTTGTGGCGACGGTGTATATTCGGGGCGAGCCCTCCGTTGGTGGCATACCGGTGGCCGCCATGTTTTGTTTGCCTGATACTGCGAGCTCTTTGTCCCCAACGGCCTTCGCTGTCTGCGTTCTCTGCAAGTCTGCAAAAGGCGGGCGGATTGATTTCTGAAGCCATCACGGCACCAAGCTGCATTAGGACAGTTGGAAGTACATCTGCCCAGCTGCCTGTAACTATCTGGCATGTGACAGGCTCACTTGGTACTTCATCCTCCGAACTGTAAACCATTACGATTATGTGTAATTGCATATGCACATACACACATTCGTAATCACGTATCTACATACATACATACATACATACATCCATACATGCACACACTACATACACTGCATACACCCCACACACACACACACACACACATACATGCGCACACAAACACGATCAAACGCGCGCACCTCTTCGTGCATGCGGTCTTGCACAGGGTTTTCACGCTGACCTCTGCCATCGAGCCATGGACGGCGGTGGGGAGCATGAAGCAAGGCACAGACACTGTCGGAGCTTGAGTCATCGATAGCTTGATTGCAGGGCCGACAGTACAAGCAGTCATTTGGAGAGCATTGCCAAACAGTTACCCCTTATGGCCTGCCCCATTCGAAGCTGCCCCTTCACTGCTCACCATCCGGGGAGCTGCACATGTAGTGATGACGGTCTCAGCTCGTTGCAAATTCAAGACTTCCTGGCCGTGTTGCAACTGTTGCATGTGAAAGGGACTTCTCGGAGATTGCAGCTGACCTCCCGGAGGAAGACGATGTGGCTCGTCATGCTCAGAACCCTGGCTTTCGCCTCGCTTTCGTGCCGTATCACTCGCCGAGATTGTTTTCGACGCTGCCATGCGCGAGCAAGAAGCAGTCGCTCTGTCTGCCCTGATGAGTCCGCTTCCCGATCCAGCGTGAGTTTGAGCGTGGCCGCTGCGGCAGTGTAACTTGTGAGACGCAGGCGACGAGCCCTTCCTGTCCCGCTGTGAGAAGCAATGCGGAGTCGACAAGCTCACTACAGCAAGGTGCATCTCAGAATCTCGCTAAGGGAAGTAGGTGTGAGAGAGAGAGAGAGAGAGAGAATGTGTGTGCCAGTGAGCTAAGAAATGTTGTCGACAAGTATTGTGTACGGTCCTAGTCCTAGCATGTCCTAGCCTAGAAGCTTAGGAGCAAAACAGCTGTTCCTCGTTTTCGTGTTCCCCACAACTTGCCTCCGCCGTAGAGCCACCGGTAGAAGAACTTGCCAGGCAAGTCTTTTCGCAGCTCGGGGATGCTGACAAGCTGGGGCGTGCCGTGGAGGTCTGAAGTCTGCAGACCCGACACTTCGAGCCCCTTGAAGCTTTCAGGAGGTCGTCACCAAGTACGGAGCCCCACATTTGCGGCCGACAGATATTCAAGGCCGCAGGAGCCCCTGAGGGTCTGCACGTTCCTGTGCTTCTATGAGTGTTTTCACCGTTACGCAAGCACGAGCTGTACAACTGAGGCTCTGATCAAGACACAGCGTGCTATTCGCTGCTACTTGGCCGATTCAACGGTTCCTGCCAGGATTTCCTGCAGCACCCACGTCGGATTTTCATTGCTATGTCATAAGGATGAGTTTATTGAACTATGCCGCGCAGCCCTCAGCGAAAGTCACCAATGGCGCAAAGCGGTGAAAGCTTGTGACTAGCGTTCAGGCCCCAAGTGTAGCGGGAGGCACTGATGCTAGTGCCGGGTGAAGGCCCAGCGGACCATTGTACAGCCTTGTACAATCTCTAGGAACGTCTTTGGCAAAGCACTTCTGCCACTCTGCTCTAGAGTGGCAAATTGGTGTACAGGCAGCGGTTAAATTGAAAAGATCTACAACGAGCGGTTTCTGCTGACCAGTATGGTCGTCTACAGCACATCGGTCGAATGCATCCTTCCTTGCATCTTCTCCAGATCGCCTGGGGCCTTTCTGTGATCGAGCCGCCAGGTGGGATTTGTGCATAAGGGCACTGTTCTGTCGGGGCAGGCTGGCTTGCGGACTATCTCTCAAGCTGGTTTGGACCTCTGCTCGGCGTATATGTCAAACTGAACAGGTGCAGTCTGGCTGGCTTTGCCTGTCTGCGGATTGCAGCAGACGGTTGAAGATCTACAGCGACAAAAAGGTAGGAAATCTCCTGCCCAGCTGAGCCACTCACGAATTTCCCTGTGAAGGCATTTGTGGCCATTGAGGGCCGTTTCGCCAATCGTCCTGACTTGGGTGCCCGACCCTCTGCACATGCACTGCTTTGCCTCATTTCTGTCGTGCTCACCAGCCTAGGCCCTGTTGCAACGCGTGGATGCAGAAACTGCCAACACTGCCAACGAGAGGTGCCAGGAGAGAGAAAGAGATAGTTTTCTGTTCAGGCATGTGGGGACCTCCCGTTTTAAACCTTAACTGTGAAGCCATTTCTTACGAGTGTCGCACCCTGAACAGCATGTACTTCAACATACTCGTGTGTCGCCTTGAAACAGGGGAAACACTCAGCTTTTCACGCTCCTCCAAAAGCTCCACGAACATCGGGGGGGCCTTCAAGGGCGAGGGGCTTCAGACACCCCTCATGCCCCGGGGAAGAAGAAGAAGAGAGGAGCAAGCGCGCAGTGCTCGAAAGCTTTGCTGTGTTGGGCAGGCCGGAGGATTCCGATGTCGGGAATGCTCGAAGCATCGAGTCCTTGAGGCCACAGACGCCCGTCTCCCTTAGATCCCACAGTCCCACGCCTTCGCCACCCTTCGCCCCTCGCAGGCGCAGGGCGGAGCGCGCTTGCCAGGCCAGGTCTCCGGGCCAGGGCAGGGCCATGCGATCCAGACCGTGCCTTCGGTGCGTTTGCCGAGGTCCTCAACTCGGAGCCGCTGCACTTTCAGGCCCTGAGTGCCTGAGGCATGTATGCCGTGTATGTGTGCGGCATCACTTGCGTGCTTTTGCGGCAGGTGATTTCGGACAAAGCCTCCGTGCGAGCAACCCCGGATGTTCATGCAACAACGTCAAGGGCCAAGTCGGCCCGCCGTCAGAAGGGTGATCTGCATTTGGAGCAGATCTGACTTGACAGGACATCAGCGCTTCACAAGGGTGCGCTAGCTCGGGTTCTGCAGCATCGCGTCACAGCTTCACAGCTGGCGTACAGCTCGCGAGAGCATGTTGTAGCGATGTGCGTCCTAATCTGCCAGGCGATCGCATAAAGGGTTATCCCTCGGGCAGCTGGCTCAGGCACGCTAGATTAGATATTGAATGCAGATGTATGACTCCAGACTCAAGTTGATGCTGGCAACAGGCTCGCCCGAAATGATAGCAAGGGTGAAGGTGCCATGGGACTTGCATCTTCCAGTTCCCGGGTCCTGCCCAGTACGCACACTCCGTACGGCAGGATGGGTTCAAATCGAGTCGTCGGGAGCTGATTCCACGTTGTATCTGGAGGCCCAGAGGAAGTTAGAAAGGGACAAGGGTATCCTGAAGCGCAGATATGATTCTGGATTTCCTGGACAACGGCTCTTGCTGTGATTCGTTTACTCCCAAGGCCTGATGTTTGCCAAACTAACCTTTCTGCTTGGTGTACTGAGAATGTACTGAGATACGAATGTCTTCGATTGATCACTCTGGTATCCAGTATGCACAGTATGCTCAGTGCTACCAAGCCATGGACAGCCTTGTGAAACTTAACAAGCTTGAGCTGAACGTCGGGCACATGGCTGCATAAGTGTTCGGCTCGATGCTGTGACATCGATAGCCTCAGGCATGTCAAGCAAGGAGGACAAAACATGGGATAGTACATGCCATAAATCATGCTACCAACATTGACACCTGCTCTGCCAAAAGCTCCCTCCTTCACGAACCAGTGCTGAAACATTGCGAGTAGACTCTTGCATTGGGTTTTGGCATAAGCTTGTTTGAGCTGTGACTGTGACATTATGCAGATATTATGCAGTCCTTGAGGCGTATTGCCCCGAAACCATTCGTACCAAACCAGATCAACTTCGCGAGCATTTACGAGGAACCTCTTCCATTCGGTTTATGCAGAAGCTGATGTTGTGTTTCCGGGTAGGCTTTATACTCCATGTTTATCACAGCCTCGAACCTCTGAACACCACCAGATCTATATGGGGTAGGCAGAACGGTGGCCCACCCTGAGCTAGCTCATGCCTTCTGACGTGCGACTGAAAGAAACTCGTAGTTTCTCTGATCACTTGTTAGTTCCAAAGCATACACACTATCACACTATCACTGCCTATACTCTTCTGACAGAAGTGAAGGCGCTTTGCCTAATGTGAATATTTGTATCAGTTCTTGGCGGGTCAACGATGGCATGAGCAGGGGAATATCTCGCGCCTTCCGAGAATAGCTTCGTGTAGACTGTAGACTCCTGTAAAGACTCCGACTCTCATGAACACATGACCAGGCGGAGTGGTCAAAAGTGGAGGTGAAGCGAGCCTTCGTCGAGGCCTGGCAAACCGAGACCGCAATTCTCTCTTCTGCGATGCCGTACATGCTACGGAAGAGTTTCTGCCCACGGAGGCCATAACTTTGGAGTGGTCTGGCCTTACCATTGAGCAGAAGGCGTGGCTCTGAGAAGCTTGCAGTGTTGGAGAGTCTTGGCGGCCTGGGGTGAGGTCACATACGCTGTCGAGTGGCGTCCTAGTGGAGGCGGTGCAGGCTCTTGGACTCGGCTGCCGTGCACATTGCTTTCCAAAACTTGAAGAGGCTGCAAAGGCAAACTGCGAGGTCTAATGACTGGTGTCAATACAACGTGAGCGCATCTCTGCAAAGAGGAAACAGCGTTGGCTGGACCTGACAACAGTCCTGACTGCTCTCGGTCGGTACTTGTACTGCTCTTTGAAGGAGACGCTTGACTAGTCAGGCACAGCATCAGGTATCAAAAGTTTGAATATCCAACTCAACTTAGTCGTTTGTCGACCGCCCCATGGTGTCCTATAACATCCTTAGCCAATAGATAAAGCATGATGGAGCCCTTCTGACGGAACGGCCGTGTATCCCTAGCCCACCGAGGTGGTCACGCAGTCAGCAAGTCAAGCCGACTTCATCTGACAGGGTCGCTGCCTCATCTTGCGAGCTCACAGCTTCTGGGTCCCGTGGGTCGATGCGCTCTTCGTCTGACGCAGGCTGCCGGCGGACGGAAAATTTTCAATGCGAGTTTTGGCTTGCGTGGTGCCCTCAGATCTTGTGCGCTGCGGGTGCGCCGAGCGCTGTCCGTACATGCTACTTCAATCTTCTAATTATCCGATTTAGGTGTTGAACCGCTTCGGGCTCCCAGCCTGGAGCGAATACAGTTTGTAGGGGCGAATCACTTCACTAGATAGGATTGTCAAGCCGCGGACAGCCAGCAGGCTTTTTCAGCTACAGGAGCTTCACGAGTACCGGTTTCGGCATCAAGCCTTGTTCAACCCTCCCCTGGTGGCCAAATGCCTGCATAGCAAAGGCGATGTTGGCTGCTTGTGAATTGTTTTTATAAAAACACTGACCCTCCCACCACCCTTTCAGTGTAGAGGTGCTACCTCCAGTTGTCATGGTAATGCAGTCGAAATGCATTTCGCTGTACAGTAAATGCCAAGTGCAAAGAAGTATCATGTTTGAGAATGCCTTTGAGCGCCCGAGCGTGTTTGCTGAAGCAACTCTTCAGGATTTTTGATGGAACAGAACTACTGTACTTCAGAACTAAGAAGAACTTTCTGTGCTCGGTGTCCACTGGCTTCGAGTTTAGCCAGGGTTTTGCGAATGGTGGCCCAAGTGTCTCGGAATGCATAACCTCTCATATCGCCAGTCGTCGAGCGAAGAACTGCAGATTTGACAATAGATCGCATCGAGATTTGTTGATTCTCCACATGCGGTAAGTTTCACCGCGAATGATGCTGCTTGAAACCGAACTGGGATGGCAGCTAGCTTTTGGCAGATACAGGTATCTGTGCAGTGGCTTACGGAAAGCAGCCCAGTGCAGTGGGACAGCTGAGCGTCGAGGAAGGCAACGGAAGGTTCGCCTTTCCGTATCCGACCACCACGACCTGTGATTTCCCAAAGAAGCTCACCACGCCAGGAATTTAGAGAACCATGAACGGCATTGATGTTGGAAGCACAACATACCGCGTCATCAACAAATCTTTTGAAGAAGGCGAGATGACCAGCATGCTCTTGATGGACGATTGCATCAAGGTGGCCGACATAAATGTTGGCTAAGAAGACACCGGGCGGTATACCAGTGGCGATGCCAAATGCTTGATAGCACTCGCCACGATGCAATATATACTGGTTTTGCAACACAAGCTCAAGAACACAGATAATGTACCTGGCTTTGGCATTGTGACCATAGAAGTCAAGGACGTCATCGCTTAACACTCTCAAAAGGTGCTCAGTATGAATAGACGGGTAAAGGTTTTTGATGTCGATCGTGGCAAGTTCAAAGTCCAGAAGGACCTGTTGCGGAAGAGCTCGCAAAAACTCATCACTGCTTGAGACAACATGCGGCAGCCTTCTTTGCAATGGTGAGAGCATATCACAAAGAAAGAGACTGGCTGGAGCGATCCAACTATGTGAAAGGTTGGAAATCGGGCCGCCAACCATAGGGCACTTGTGAAGCTTGACAGTGAGACGAAAAGAACCTTCACGCTTGGAGAATAGACCATTGCAGATAAACCTGGCTTGCGAAGTGGAGATAGCCCCAGACGCTTCCATTTGACGAGTTGCCGATTCCATCGTGCAGCGTGCATCGAAAGTAGCACTGACATACTCAGTCTCCGAAAGACGGCGGAATCCAGTATGCAGCAAACGATCAAGTTCAGCATTAACCCAAGATCTAGGAAGCAAAACGTCACCCAGGCCTTTATCAGCATCAGCGATCACGATCTCACTTTTGTGCTGCTTCAACCATTGACTAGCCTTACAGTCAGTCGAGCCACATGTAGTTCCGTCTCAGCGGCGAATCCACGAATGAAGAAACTACATCCCGACGCAGGTGGCGAAGGAACGCAGAGATTTCCATATCGAATGGCGGGTGCCAAACTGAAGAGGTTGCAAAAGCGCTTTTCTTGCGTTTGGAAGCCAAACCCGGCCTGTCAGCAAAGAATTTGGCCTTGTGCAACTTCAGCGCCATCTGATCCATACCGATAAGAACATCTTGGAGTGCGCAATGATGTCTATCCATGACAAACTTGCCGCCTTTGTTGAGGTACAGCATGACAAAGTCAGGGATCACGAATTTGGGGGGCATGCGAGAATGTACAAAATCACCTGAGATTCTGGTAGACAGTGACCCAAGTGAGGAACGAAAAGAGCGACTAATACAATACTTGGCGAAGTTGATTGACTGCAGATCTGAATTCCAGTAGCTTTTACATCTTCTACGCTTGCACTGATTGGTGTCAATGGGAGGGGGCGCTTGTCAAGAGCGCCCGCTCGCAAACTTGACTTTCTTGCCGGCTCCTTTTCCTACACCGCGTCCGTATCCACGCCCGCGACCTCGACCTTTCGATTTTCCACCTTTGCCTGTAGACTTTCCGCCATCAGAATGACGAGATGCGGACCGTCTGCCCTTGCTTGTAACACGAGTCCTGGATGAGCTCCGGTCTTTGGACGATCGTCTGGTTCGTGAGCTGGAGAGGTTGGTTTTGTCACGGGATCTGGCTCTGCGGGTTGAAGAGCTGGATTTTCGCGATGGATGTGGTGTGGGAGATCGCCTGGCGAGATCTGCTTGTGCACGGCGCTTGAAGGTCGGTCAACGAATTTGATCACAAAGTGGTTGTGCAGGTCAGGAAATTTGCGAATGAGTGCTGCCAATTCACTGGTTTTGCAAAGCTCAACACGTTTTGCTGTAGTGCCGTCTTTTGTGCTGCATCGCTTAGACACCTTGTCAAGTTCGATCATGGCAATGAGCATCTGTGGGTCCATGGCTTGGAATTTGGTTTCTGCCTCCAAAAGAGCTGCTTGCTTCTTCTGCCGGCTCGCGGCAGCTTCAGACATGCGGCTCTTTGCTTTCGGCACTTCCTCTCGCACCACCATGTCCATCAATAGCTGACAATTGCGTAGTGCCTGCTCTTTGGTTTGTTGGGACATGAGGCTGGAGTTTTGGGAGTACCACAAGGTCACGATGTCGTTCACATGCTGCTTCATCTCCTTGTAGTCGGTTTTGGTTTCAATATATGTCAGGGCACGTTTTTGGTGCTCCACGACAAACTTTTGGCACTCAACAGCATGTTTGCGTCTCTGGAAGACCAAGCCTTTGCTATGTCGTAGGGCACACCAACCTGAACTTCGTCGATACCAAGAAGAGGGTGCGCGGATGCAACATATTCTTGAGGAAACTGCCACTGCCTTGTCGATTCTTGCTCAAACTGACGCATAATGGCATTATCTTCTTCAATCTTCTTGTACTGTACTTCTCACGCAATTCAGTTTGTGTGACCAAATGCGAAACATCTTTCTTGAACGATGCCCGCCAACTCAACATTGCTTCCCGAACAGACGGATCAAACACTTCAAAGAGCTGGTCAGGATTCTGAAAAGATTGTGAAGCACATGCGCCATTTTGCATCTGGTTTCTGAGCATAGAGGTTTGTTCTTCAAGGAGGGCAACTTGACGAGCCATCAGTTGATGTAGAGCATGTTGCTGTTGCTGATCAGGATGTGGTTGGTGTAAAGGCCTACCTGCAGCACTGCAACGACGTTCTTCCACGACACCTCGATTATTCGATCTTGATCTCACTTCACCAGCAGATTGAAACTCGCGACCTTTTTGGGGCATAGTACCATTATCCGTGCTACTGGCCATGGCGACAATCTAGATGAAAACACACGGCACTTCACTAGATAGGATTGTCAAGCCGCGGACAGCCAGCAGGCTTTTTCAGCTACAGGGGCTTCACGAGTGCTGGTTTCGGCATCAAGCCTTGTTCAACCCTCCCCTGGTGGCCAAATGCCTGCATAGCAAAGGCGATGTTGGCTGCTTGTGAATAAAAACAATTCACAAGCAGCCAACATCGCCTTTGCTATGCAGGCATTTGGCCACCAGGGGAGGGTTGAACAAGGCTTGATGCCGAAACCGGCAGCGAGCTGACGAAAGGAAGACGCAGGGCTGACGGCGCAAAGAGGGAAGTCCGGTCAAGTTTTTCTCATAAGAGCATGAAAGCTGCAACGAGAGACCCTGTTTAACCCCCAGATCGGAGGTGAGCTCCCAAATTTCAGCTGGGAGTGGCGAGACCTCAGCTCCAAAGTGAAAGCAAAACACAGAGTGGGGCCTGAAACTCAAGGAGGGTCAAGAGCAAAACGGGGCCCCAGCCCGACGAAAGTAGGAAATTCGCAGCCGCATGGCATAGACTGCGATGGTTGAAGGTTTTAGAAACTATATGTGAAAGATGCAAATAGACGAGGTGTGACGTACAGGAGCAAGAGCAGAGTATCTGGGATTCGAAAACGAAGATCTTCCCAGTGTATGCTCCGTTGTGGTGCGTGGTGGCAGTAGCATCGGTTTAGCGGCCTCTTGTCTGCCTTCTTCCGGCTCTTGATTCGGCAACCGCAACGCTTGTCTCTTGTCTGCATAGATGGAGTTCGTGATTTCCCTTCCGAGGTGGCGAGCGACGAGCCGAAGGTGACGCCTTTGAGGCTCAACGGGCCCTGGCTCGAGGCGAGGTGGCAAGGCCTCTGTGAGCACTCGCCCAGCGCTTTTGGTCTCTGCCTCGAGGCTTCAAGCCTGCCTGCTTCAAGGAGGCCCCGGTTGGGAAGTCATGGATTCCTTCGAGTCTCCACAGAAAGGTGAGGTAGGGCAGTTTAATCCGCGAAGAGGAAACGTCACATCACCAATGTCACGCGGCTGTGATGACAGCAGTGGTCTGGCTGGAAATAGGAACGAGCCCTGCAAGCACGATGAATCAAGATGACAAGTAGAAAGGGAGAACAATCTGCTCGTGGCATCCATCTCTTTTGTCAGCAAAAGCCTTCATGCAGATGGTCAACATTTAATTACGCGTAGGAGCCCTCCCCCACGGTCTTTCAGCGAATGGTTTGTCGTTCCTCGACTTCTTTGGGTTGTTTTCAGTCGCTAGTTGTCTTTCTGTCAACATCGCACTTGAGTTGATACCAGATGCTAATCTAGAGAAGCCGCCACCTTGAACAACGAAACAGCACCGAGCATGACGAAGAGCATTTCCCTACACGTCGCAAAACCGGTTGTGCCACGGTACCACACGTACTGCAACAGTGGAGGTCATGACTTCGAAGGATGTATGCCGTGATGGGAGCCAGTTTCTTCAGCCTTTCGAGATACAGGCACCAGAGGCGCCAGAGCACTCAAGCAGTGAGTCAAGATGTAAGCGAACAGCGGTCCTGGTCGCACTCTACACCTTGGGATCTGTGGGCCTCAACTACTTGATGAAGTTCCTCTTCAGTTATATGTGGATATCCGTGGACCAACTACAAGTGCATGGTCTTCCGGCACCGCTCTTCTGGACGACTACGCAGCTTGCAATCAGCTTTGGCTGCTTTGCAGCCTCTTCTCAGGTGCATTGGTGCTCACAGGGGAGATTGGGCTATCGGCCTCCTCCGTTGAATCCTAGACTGGCGAAGCAGGTGGTCTTGCTGGCGTTGTCGTTTGCCACCAGCATCGGGCTGAACAACTTGTCTTTGTCCATGGTCAGCTTGTCCGTCAACAACATGATCCGTTCCACCAGCCCCTTGACAACAGCTGTGGCAGCTACAATTTGGACAGGCGGCGCGCCATCTTCGGAACAGTGGATCTTCGTGGTCTTGGGGACTTTTTTCGTCCTGATAAATGTGTTGGCTTCGCAGCCAGCAGCACCTTCTACACAGAGCAGCTTCACTCTCGGAGTGACAGCTGGTTTTCTCAGCACTGTCGGTGGGGCTTGCATGTTCATCATCGTCGAGCTGCTCAAGGGATCTACGATTCCTCTGAATGCTATCGACTCTACGGGATACATGTCTCTGCCGGCAGCTGTGCTGCTTACTCCCTGGATCTTCCTCTTCCCACACACGGCCGGGAACTGGCCCGAAAGCCTCTCTGGGACCAGTCGAACCGACTCTGAGTTGCTTGGAATGGTGTCCGACCATGCAAGGCTCGCAGCTGCAGTTGCTCTGAGCGGTTTTGCTGCTTATGGGTACAACATCCTCCAGTTTTATACGGTGCAGGAGTTGTCGTCTACGCAGACGGCCTTTGCATCCAATGTCTCCAAAGCAGTTCTCTGCTTGCTATCATGGATATTGCTGGAGCCGGCAACATCCCCGGGCAAGCTGCGGTCGTGGGTTGTGGTGCTCTCTGCAGCTGGCGGCCTCACTTGCTTCTTCCTCTATGCGCTTTCCAAAGCTAGAAAGCCTGCGCCAGAAGAGCCGTGGCATCATGATCGCTGTAGGATATCCTCAGTTGTTTTACTGGCTGTCCTTGGAATGATCCTCGGGATCTTGACCAACACCCTTGATTCGCCGCCAGGCCAGTGACAAAACAAACCAGTCTCCCTTTTTGCCTTTGACATTCTGCTGGGGATACAGCATGATACGACCAAGTGCTTGCATCGATCTGCGGCTGTGACTAGACTGGAACATGCGGAAGGAACGACCCACTCACACACTCCTCGACTGCATGCAGTCCGGCGTCGTCTGGAATCAAGTTGTGTGCTTTTCGTTGATCGCCGTCGTGCTATCGCCGGCCCGATGGCAATTGATTTTACCAAACATGCTAAGCACTTGCTGTCTTCTAGTCGATCATCAGTGTTGTAAACTTCGTCCGCAAGCACAACTTGTGTAGCTGACGAATTTCACACCAACTGCATGCGGCTGGTTGGGATAGGGCAGAAAAAATTGATCACTTGCTCTGTGTTCTCACCCACACGCTCGTGTCCACCGGTTTATGCATGCCAGGCCAGGTTGGTCCAGCCGCACATCCGAGAGCAACCTGGACCCTTTGGGGCAAGTCCGTGCCGGCTGTCTGGTTTCAAACTCAGATACTGGTAGCCCCCGCGAAACCGAAAAGGCCGATTCCATGATGCGCTTAGGCCAGCAAGTGCTCTGGATACCTGGCCCCAGAGGAGCCACACTTCGCATGCTACTCGTCGCATGACTCCGTGTTGCAGAATCTGGTGCAGGATTCTGCAAGCTACGTCAACGACCCCAAGGCGACGCTGTGCAGGCACTGGCAAGCAGAAGGGGCTGAAAAATTGGACTTCCGTGCAGCTTTGCAAAGAAGTTTAGAGTGGTGAGAGGCGCTGTGGATATGCCTTCCTCGATCACCGAAGAGGATTCTCAGGCTGAAGCAGGGCATGCCGCATCATGCCAGCATGATGTATGGCAGGCGCTGCATCCGTGCCAGATATGTGGTGTAACTCGCACGGAAGCCTTTGTCAACTGTGCATGGTACGCAGCTGTTATTTTTCAAGCATTGTGCCGACCTAAACATGGCCCGGAGGTGACTTGGCTTTACATGACGAAGTGGCTCAAGCCTTGGCTGAAGCTCTTGCCGGCCCGCTGTATCCGAGGAAAGTGCTTTTTCCTCTGCTCCTCCTTCTTGCGTTCGCATGGACGCAGAGGCGCGGCTTACCTTGAGCCCGGAGAGCCGGATGTAAAGGCAACTTACGAGATCAGATCTGAGGCTTCGCACCCTAGTCCGACAGCGTGCCATACATGCAAAGGATACAAGATCTGCTGAGAAGGTCAAAACCACGTGCAGCTATCTCAGGGTTGGACGGTTGGACGTTGACTAACTGGAACCTGTGTTCTCGTGTTGTCACGTGCTTGCTCAGCGGAGCACCGTTGCAACCGCGGTTGCTGCGAATCTGTCTTGAACCTTAGCAGGCATGCCTTCCTGAATGTGACAGCGGCACGTGGCCTATCGCGGCATGCAGCTGTCGGCTCTTCGGCTGAGCGAGCCAGGACGCTTCCTTGTTCCTTGTCGCCCGAGCATTCCGAAAACGATAGCAGAGTCCTCGGGTGATGTTGGCCCGTGTTGCTGTGTGAGAGGAGTACTGTGGCTCTCTCTGCTCGTGGTGGTGAGAGCGAAGCGGACGAGGCAGGGTGTTGGCTTTGCCGTCTTGGTTGGGACTTCTGCAGCGACCGACCCTGTGCCCCCTTCAGGAGACAATCGATGTTGGTGGATTCTCTGCATTGGTAGTTGGGCTTGCTCTACTGCCCTTTGCGGGTTGCCTGCCAGTTTATGGCAATTTCTTCTTTGATTCCAGTCGATCGGCCATCGGGGTTTCTAAGTGTGCTACACCCTGACACAACCGACAGATGAGGCTACGCCCTTTCCGCGGCTGTGTCTGTGATCTCTGGAGCAAGCTTTGAACTTGGACCCTTCGGCCTGCAGCTGACCTCGATCTTTGTCACTGTGGGGTTACCCGGCTTTGCAAGCGTGGAAAGGCTTGGCCTTCAGTATCTTCAGTAGGCGCAGAGCAAAGCCCGGTGTTGCTACTTAAACCCCCAAGCCCCATAACACCTGCCTTGACGCTTATAGCTCTTTTCAGCGAAACAAGCCTTCCTAAACCAGGTCTACTGACAATCCGAAACCCTAAACCAGAAAACTTGCCTTTCTAAGGTCCGTCGTGTGGTCGTTGAGCAGCGTCTTCTCCCGCGGGAAGGGGCTCCCGGCGGGCTGGCTCGGCCTTCTCGGACTTGCGGAGGCCCTCTCTTGGACTCCAGGGCTCCCAGTGGGTTTCTCGAAATGTGGATTCAGGATTTTTAGTCCATGGCAGTGGCTCCCAGTGGCCAGGGCCTCTCCTACGTGGCCACCTTGGCCTTGGTGCTTGCAGCCTTGGTCTCCAGCTTCCGTAGCCCATCCGCCACGCAGCCGGGTCAGAAAAGCCAGGCGGGGACGACAAGAGCAAGTGCAGGTTTTTGGGTTTTAGGGTTAAGCCGGTTAAGCCTCAGGACAAGGCAAGAGCTCCCTTGTCCGTACCTTGCCATGAAAAGGCACCGACCTTCCGATCTTCGAGCGGCTACTCGGCACCCTCGGGCCGTAAGGATCTCTTCTCCTTCGACTCGAGTGCCAACCTGAAAGTACCAGAGTTCAAAGCGCCGGAAGTGAAGATGCCCGCCGTGCCGGCGTTCAAGCCTCCGGAGCTTCCGTCTTTCAAGGTGCCTGACATCAAAGCACCACAGGTCCCATCGTTCAAAGCCCCCGACATCAAGGTTCCTGACATCAAAATTCCAGATGTCAAGCCGCCGCAGATGCCAGCTTTCAAGGCACCCGAGCCGAAGGAATCTCCAAAGCCCGCAAGAACTCCTGCAAAGGCGCAGCCAAGCAGTGGAGGAGACTTCGACGATCTGTTTGGCTCAGATGTTGTAGCAGCGCCTGATGATGCCGCTGCAAAGAAGGCCCGTGCAGCAGAGGCAAAACAGGCAGAGGAGCGCAAGCGCGAAGAAGCGAAGAAGGCGGCGGAGAAGGAACGCAAGGCCGAGGAAGAGAGGAAACGTGAGGAGGCCAAGAAGGCCGAAGAGGAACGAAAGGCCGAGGAAGCACGAAAGCGCGATCAGGCCAAGAAGGCCGAAGAGGAACGAAAGGCCGAGGAGGCGCGCAAGCGCGAGGAGGCCAAGAAGGCCGAAGAGGAACGAAAGGCCGAGGAAGCTCGCAAGCGCGAGGAGGCCAAGAAGGCCGAAGAGGAACGAAAGGCCGAGGAAGCACGAAAGCGAGAGGAGGCCAAGAAGGCCGAAGAGGAACGAAAGGCCGAGGAAGCGCGCAAGCGCGAGGAGGCCAAGAAGGCCGAAGAGGAACGAAAGGCCGAGGAAGCACGAAAGCGCGAGGAGGCCAAGAAGGCCGAAGAGGAACGAATGGCCGAAGATGCGCGCAAGCGTGAGGAGGCCAAGAAGACCGAAACGAAATCGATAGGAGAAGACAAAAAGTCCGAGGAGGCGCGCAAGCGCGAAGAGGCCAAGAAGGCCGAAGAGGTTCGAAAGGCACAGGAAGCGCGCAAGCGCGAGGAGGCCAAGAAGGCCGAAGAGGAACGAAAGGCCGAAGACGCGCGCAAGCGCGAGGAGGCCAAGAAGGCCGAAGAGGAACGAAAGGCCGAAGACGCGCGTAAGCGCGAGGAGGCCAAGAAGGCCGAAGAGGAACGAAAGGCCGAAGATGCGCGCAAGCGCGACGAGGCCAAGAAGGCCGAAGAGGAACGAAATGCACAGGAAGCACGCAAGCGCGAGGAGGCCAAGAAGGCCGAAGAGGAACGAAAGGCCGAGGAGGCGCGCAAGCGCGAGGAGGCCAAGAAGGCCGAAGAGGAACGAAAGGCCGAAGACGCGCGCAAGCTCGAGGAGGCCAAGAAGGCCGAAGAGGAACGAAAGGCCGAGGAGGCGCGCAAGCGCGAGGAGGCCAAGAAGGCCGAGGAGCAACGAAAGGCCGAAGAAGCGCGCAAGCGCGAGGAGGCCAAGAAGGCCGAAGAGGAACGAAAGGCCGAGGAGGCGCGCAAGCGCGAGGAGGCCAAACAGCAGAAGACCAAGACGCCAGAGCCTGCGAAACCAAGCTCAGCTCCAGAATCTGCAGCGGATGTGGATCCAAGCAAGCTGTTGGGAAGTGCTTTGGCAGACTTGGGACGCTTTGGAAGCAAGGATACGACGAAGCAGGAAAGCCAACCAGAAAAGAAAGCCCCGGCTGCTCCTACAATCAACTACGATCTGTTTGCTTGAGACTCGAGGAGTCATGGGGACTTTCAAGTTTTAGCTGATGTGAAGAAGCTTATACGGAGGGTTGGAGTAGGTCAGAATATAGGGCTTTTGCTGTCCCCGACTCCTTGATGACTCCTTGATACGCACTCATCCTCACGGATGACTATCAGTTTCATTTCCAGTAGCCAGTCTTTTCAAAGCAGAAGTCGCAAGTTTTTCCTGCAGGTTTCAAGAGACGTTTCAATTGCTTTTAAGCGCTCCTGGGAAACCGGGGGTGTCTCTTGTAATCCTCTAGGCTTTGCCATCGCACCTTAAACTGCCCCGCTCGAGAAAGGAGCGCACTGACTTGCCACAACAAGTTGAGGCTTCTTCAGCTAACCCATGGTTAACTTGCCTACACAAGTACTTCTTGGAGGCGAAAAAACTGGGAAGTCGCAGCCACGAAAGGCCTGCACCCCACAGCCAACCTCGAGCGGGCCTATGCTAAGCTTTGAGGTTAATGCATCCGAGCTTCCCACTCGGACGGAGAAGGCCCTCTTGCCAGCAGACGAGTTTTCTGCAGTGTTCTTACAAAGTTAAAACACTTGATCACTTGATATCCACTGGAGGAGTCAGCGGCACAAGCACGCGACGGGGAGGCGGGTCATGGAAACCAATGCCAGGCAAGAAGGCGAAATGCCGAGCAAATCTAAGCAATGCTTTGCAACTTTGACGGTGCCATGCAGCCGTTTACAGCCCCGCTGACTCCACTTCCTTCAGCCATGCTTGGGTCTGCTCCCAGCCTCTCGCGCAGCTTCTTCAAACTGTGGACGCCGGCATCAGCACGGGCAGCTGCACAGCGTCTTGGAATGTTAGAACCCACCCTACTGCACCCAGAATGCTCACGCATGTCGGTGCATCGTTGGGAAACTTTCTGCCAGGCTTCAGCGACCTCCTCTGCCGCCTTTCAGCCGTGAAGATGCCATCAAAAAGGTCCGGATGGCAGAGAACGCTTGGAACACGCGCGATCCCGAGACCGTCAGCTTGGCCTACACAGAGGATGTCTCAGACCAATGAGCCAGCATTTGTTTGTAGCCGTGTATGCGCACTATGTAGTACACCTGCACTCACGTCAGGACTGCGTGTGGAGGAATCGCGACACCTTCTTTCAAGGCCGTGAAGCTATCGTCAAATTTCTTCGGCAGAAGTGGGAGAAGGCGGTCCAGCAGAACTCTAGCACACCAGTAATACTGTCATGCTGCTTGCAGGAGCAGGAGTACCGCTTGATAAAGGAGCTCTTTGCCTTTGAGGGAAACCGGATAGGAGTCTGCTTCCAGTATGAGTTCAAAGATGCTTCCACAGGCTCTGACGCAACATGTGCAGATCATATCTGACACAGTGGTTCCGGGCATACTCTTGTGCTGGTCACAGGGCTTTGGTACCGCGCCTATGGCAACGAGAACTGGGACTTTGCAGCAGACGGGCTCATGTGCCGACGGCAGGCAGCATGACCAGCGTGACCCACAAGCCCACTCTTCGATTCGAGCTGGAAGACACTGGCAGGCTTCCATCAACGATGTCCAAATCAAAGAGTCGGTTCGGCTCTTGACGTTTACTTGCCAAGTTGTCTCCTCCAGCCACTGCATTTGTTGCTGAGGATCGCCGGTTCACTTGGCCCGAATTGGGCAAACGGCCTGAGGACTTTCCATCCCTAAGTGCCTTGTACGAGATTCACGGACAGTAGCGCTGCTCGGAGCAGCCAGGTCAACGCAGGCGTTGTGTGACCTGACGTGACATGTCCTTGCATGCCGACATAGGCCACAGCATTTGGCATTGCCGGATGGACACTGTCCGCCAACATGCGAGATTACCATTGCCGAGCCTTCCGGCATTCTAGCAGTTTGCGTCGGCGCAACCAATGCGCTGAACAGTGCGAGCTTCTCCTTCGCAGCTTCGCTGGAGTGTACAGATGGCCGCGACATCAGAGGATCCACAAGCTGACCTAAAATGCAGGGGCGAATCTAGCTCGTTTGCTGATCAGTCTTGGGATAGTGTCCGGATGGAGCAGGCTCGGGGCGAAGCACGCAGAAGCTTCATCGCCTGGCTCCTGCAAAGTCCTGTTTGCGTTGCCGTGCGCCTCGGCTCTTGGCCCAGGCCTGTTGGGTGGTCGAGCACCGGGCAGTTCTCATTCGCTCCCAGCCCAGCGTCAAGGCTCGAACACGGGGGGCTGTATCAGTTGCGGACAAGCAGAGCTGCGGCGGCGGAACTTCGACTCCGGTCCGCAGGCCGAGAAGCTCGGCATTGTCTGCAAAGGTCACGTCTTAAAAGGCTACGAAATGGAAGGCCCGGCTGCAGCAGAGGCTGTGCTGTGAAGAGACGCTGGGCATGGCTCTGAAGTCTGACTGTAGCTTATTCAACATATGTGGTGGTTGTATGCTCTTTTGCTTGTCAGGCTGGGTGAAGCTAACTCGCGAGTCCAGCATTCAGGCAGAGCGCTTTGCTTGCTTTCAAGCTGTCGATCGTACATAAGTTGAATTAGCAGTATTCTTTCGTGTCTGTAGCCTGGCTCCCTTATTTACTGGGCAGTGTTGAATCCAACATAGAGTCACAAAGCTTTGACATTGGCAAGGTTCTTGGTGCAACATCATATTTAGGTCATGCTCGGTTCGGGTCCAACTTCCCGAACTTCGCCAGCATGCATGTAGGGCATGGGCGGCATAGGATGGATAGACAAAGGCTTGCTTGAAAATCTAGCCTAAGGCTTTCACTGCGCCAGGCAGGCATTGCAGACGGCAGGGTCGCCTGGGTGCTCATAGATGGACAGGAGGCCCCGGGCTTTTCACCTCCGCTCTTGACTTGGGTACCGCGTTTTTCCATGGAATTCCCCTTTAGGGCCTCTGTGCTTCAGGTTGGCCTCGGCCTGTTGCTTCGGCCTCTGAAGCCAGGCGAGAAGCCAAGGAACGAAAAAGACACCAGAGAGGCCAGGAACTGCTCTTGACCCTATGCGCCTCCGCTGATGCTGAAGAGATGGGCAGGAGTCAGATGATGAAAAGTATGGAGTAGCCTGGAGATCCGAGGCAGGCTCCGATTTCGGTGACTTGGCCTCAGCCACCCGCGCCCAGCAGGACATCTACACAGGGGCGCTGGAGTTCGAAGTCCTTTTCAAGTCCGTATCCGTCCGGAGGCAAGCAGTCCAAGCAAGATTCCGAGCAAGTGGCATCCTGGAAGCAAAGGAGACCCAGAGTCACTTCCAAGTCCTTGGGGATCATCACCGAGGCCGGGCAGGGCACCAAGATGTGAAGCCATCTGAAGCCGTCTCTGGCTAAGGGCAATCGCGTTTGGGGCTACGCCAAAGACAACTGGCTTCAAACTAACCGGAAGTACAGGCGGGAAGAAGAGAGTTCCGGGGACATCTCATCACACTCCTTGATATGACTTCTCATCGCCCGCTCGCAGGCAGAAGGAGCAAGGCTGGATTCGTATTGTCGTGACCTCAGCCTTGAGTCAGCCTTGAGTTTCAAAAACTCTCACGCGTTGTTGCAAGGAGGAAAGTGGCAACTCGTCGCTAAGGATGGAACTGATCTGGGCCACGGGCAGCTTCTTCAGTGTACCATGATGAAGCCCGCCACCATGAAGTGCTTCGCAGAGGCTCTCAACAACAGGCGCCCGGCAGCCAGAAGATGTCTCAATTTCCGTCAGGCACTGCTGATAAATTGGCAGCCACTTCCGGCGAAGTCTGTGGTCTACACACTGGAATGGATGGCACAGGACTGCTGCTTCTTGTCAAAAGGAAAGTCTCCACCCTCGAGTCTGCCCTCAGGATAAGAAGAAAATCAATGTGGCCGTGGAAAAGACGCGCCATTGCGTTGGTGCACCTCCTAAAGTCCTACAGCGCCAGCGCAGTTTGAAAGCCCGCAAGCCGACAGCCACGGAGCCGATGCTTGGAGGTTTTTCTAAGCGTCTGGCGGGTCACAGAGGAAACTGGGCTGAACATGTGGCAGCGAAATCAGCTGGTGCTGAGGCAAGATCGGTGCTTTGGCAGCAGATTCAACATTCTACGTGAGGCCTGTGCATACACAGCAACATGACGTGCACAGATCGTGAGTGAAACAGTGGCAGGGTGACCGCGCACATCTTGATCCCTGGCGTTGATGCGAACAGTCCGAAGAGCGTTTGCGCAAAGGCGCCTGAGTACTAAACTTCTAATTCTCTTTCGTTCGTGACCTCCCTCCCCCTCCCTGCTCCGCCCTGTCTCTCCCACTCGGTCTTTCTCTCTCTGACTTTCTCTCTCTCGCTCTCTCGATCTCGCTCTCTCTCACTCTCTTCCTCGCTCTCTTTCTCCCTCTCTCGTTCTGTGTCTCTCTGGCTCTCTCTCTCTCTCTCTCTCTCTCTCCCTCTCTTTTTCTCTCATGTCTTGTCTTTGCCCACTGGTGGCGATTCACGCCTAGAGTGCGCAGCACCTGAAAAACCTTAAGAATACGCGATCAGGTGAGCAGCGACTGGGTGGAGGCGCAAACAGGCCTCGGCGGCCTTGAGACGAAGAGTGTTACGACGTCTCGTCGACATCTTTTGCATAGTCAGCTATGATTGTGATACTTGTTGCGCTTCTCATCTTCTTGGCTTTGAGCTGCTGATAGCCTTTGTCTGGCATCAATGCAGAACTCTTAGCGTGACCGATTGGTCTCGGGCAGGATCGGCCGTTGACGAAACGGAGGAAGCAGCAATGACTTTTGATCCGCTGGTGCGCCCGACATGCCGCAGCTTCGCTCGCGATGTCGTTTTTCATTCTTTAAGTTCAGGCAAAGATTCGTGGAAAGTGTGGCGACTGTGCTTTGGTTGCATTTGAGCTGCCCCACGTTCCCCCACCGGCCGGAAACGAAAGGGCATCTTGAATGATCTGGTTGAGGCCAGCACTGTGCCAACTTCATTCTGTCCAAGTACTCCTATCTCATGCGCTTAGACGAGGCGGGACTGGGATGAACCTGCCTTGTTTTCCTAGATTGTATGGATGAGCTTAAGCCAATGAAGACAGCCCGAGAAGGTTTCCCACCGGAGCAGGATTCTGCTCTCGGCAAGGGTAGCAGGATCGGGAGAGCAACCAGATGCAGGTACTTTGTCGCCGCTGCGGATGCGCCTGTACGAGCCATGAGATCGTCGGGGAGTACGGGACATCTCTGCGAGCTGCATTTTCTTTCTGTCTCGGTTTTGGTCGTCAGACTTTCAAAGACCTCCAGCATCTTCTCTGTTTTGCGAGCCGAGTTGAGATCTCATCTCAGTCTCAGCTGCCGGGCTGCTGTGTGAGGAAGTCGCGGGCGCAGTGGGCCAAAGACAACGAACGCAGGCATCTGGTCATCTGCACATCCCATGGTCGCTGTACATGTCCCAGAGCGTATTGCCTCACAAGGCAGCGAGAAGGCCAGCGCCGCCAGCAACAAGTCACGAAGCCAAAGCCGATTATGCCAGCGGAGCAGCCAGACATGACTTCAGACTTCAGGAGGTTTATCGTGGAGAGAGACTGCAAAAACCGAACAGATGGCAAGACCATATCCCAGGCTGCCGTGCGTTCCTTGGCAGCCTGATGATGCACCAGTGGGGCACTCAGAAATCCAAGGCTTCGTACAGTACATGGGCTGGCATTGCATGAGTTTTCTCCAGGTTGGCAAGAGCAAGGCACGGTATGTCATCGAGCAGGCAAGGCATGTCGATCCTTCGGTTTGTGCTCTTTCAATCGTTCAGTCGAGCAAATGGCAGGTTGGTGTCAACTCGAGCAGTTTGGTTCAGTGGGTTTATGTGGGTTTATAAAGGTTAGAGCACTTGATACTGCCATGGGCGTTTAGGCAGGATGCGACTTCATCCACTGCGACATGTGTCAGCCACTGGTGTTCTCGGCTTCGGCAGCACTCCAGTTCTGAAGTATAGAAGGATCCGCAAAGGGGTTAGCTGGAGGTCATCTTCCGCATCTGAACAGGTGAAAAAGGCACGGAACTTGTATGAGACCCTGGGCGTACGCCCAGCGGCAGCGGCGAAGGCTTGCATGACATGACCGATGAGTCGCTAGACGGCTCATCTTTCAGCTCAGAGCCCCGAGGATATACGCAATGCTTACCGTCAAATCGCATTGCGCATCCATCCAGACAAGGCGCGGTCGACGTCTTCGGTGACGCAGCTCTGAAATACTGTGACAGTGGGGGGGCTGCACAGGTCACATCGGGTGGCAAGGAAGAAGAAGACTTGGTTGCACATGCAGAGGCATGGGTGCCCTGAAGACAGCTCGTGCGGAGGCGTGTAATTATGCGCCAGGCTGCCTTCAAGCTCGTGTCCTCGGCCTATGAAGTTCTTGGTGACGAAGGTTGCGAATAATATCATATTTGATGTTGAATGCGTTCTGCATGGAGATGACAATGCATGAAGTGTCTTTGTGTATGCTGGGTATGGCAGGCAAGAGATCATCGTACAACCACACGGCCAAGCGCTGCCCCAAGATCACCGACATCCCAATATAGTAGAGCGCTGTGCTGCTGATATTGCCCCACGCTCATGCACCCGTGTCTTCTCCCTCGAATTTCACGTCTGCACTGTTCACAGGGCCAGCGGAAAGGCTGCGGCAGCGTCTTCAAAACCATCAGGGCCCACGGCTCAACCTGAACATGCTCGACTATTGAAACGACGTCTACCCCGAGAGCTGTCGTTGCCAAGGCCAAGGACCACAGCCCCTGCATCCCAGAGAGCTTCTTGGTGTGAATAGAACAGAGTTGTGAGACCTCCCGGTTTTGAGCAAAGCTGACCTCCCCAAGGAGCATTGGCCAGGAGGCCAGCTTTCGCGAGGCCTCCACGCACTCCGTTCCAAACCTCACACGCTGGTAGGCTCGGGAACGTCTAAAGCAGAGGCCAGGCGCAAATACAGAATTCGGGTCTGCTTTTCCTCCTTTCATCGTCGAGCGATGTTCGTGAACATGCAGCAGGTGGTTCTCACCGCTTGGATCCAAGTGAACAGCTGCACTACGCAGCCATTGACATTAGCGGAGCGCGTCTTGGTTTTAAGCTTGAGAGGTGTCCCACGCAGTCCATGGCGAAGAGATTCGCATGTCGATGAATCGTGGGACGCGGGATGCTTAATTCTTGGCGGACCCTCACACTTCCAACTTCCATCCCTTTGTGCAACCGGGGTCCAGCTGTGCTTTTGCAAGGAGTGTTATGGGCCTGAAGCGGGCCCTCTGCAAAAAAGTCAAACGGGGACCGTGTTGGCCTCAAGGACTCATGCAGCCATTATAGCAGCATCGCCGGTGCGCTGATTGCAGGCCGGAGTGCATCGACATCTGCGACAGCAGCGGATGCGTGCTCGGAGATGATCATCGCTTTGCCGAGAATCAGGCTCCGAGTTGCCCAGTCCCAGTGACAGGAACTGTCTGCCCTGAAACCCCCCGCTGAGTCCGACAGGAGCTGCACTGCATCGGCATCTCGCTTGGCCCACCAAAGACTATCGCGGTAGAGGCCGGGCTCTCCTCTCGGGCATCTGCGCCGACACCTGTCCGCCATCCTGTCCGAGCTTGGGCATTGGGAGGTGAAGGACCATCGGTCAGGAGCCAGGATGCAGGTGGAGGTGGTGAACTCAGGGATATTTGCCTGTCTGACCCCAGCATCCGCAGATGCTCCATGGTGCCTGAGATGATGTGCTGCTAGGCTCCACAACTGGTAGGACCGTCTCCATAGACAGCCTTCCTGAGGTTTACACTAAGTGGCTTGCAACCGTCGGACGCCAGCATGATTCGCTCAGGCATTACACGTAATGTCAGTCATTCCCTCACCGTCGAGTCCTAGATTGCACAATGGAACCTAGTAACCTGCATGTGCTCGTGTACTTGCAGTCTCAGGTGCTGGACACTTCGAGCATGGAGACAGTCAGAAAGAAGGCTTCATCATGTGCTGCAAGTTTAGGCAACCCAGCAACATGATAATGCCGCCTCACAAGTGTCGAGGTCGCCAGGGAGCTGAAGGTGAAGGAGAAGGCCCTGACATTTAGGAGATTTGGCGTGCGACGTTTCACTTTGCACTGGACGAAGGAGCTGCAGATTGGACAGCAGAAGAGCGCGGGCAAGTACTCCGCTCGTCGCTTCGAAGCTTTACCAAGCGAGGAGCTGCTGAATGGCAGGAGCCTTTTGAGTTGCGCAAAACATATCCGGCCGACATTTCCGTGAAACTGCGCGTCGTATCAGGAGAATGCTCTACATCCATGGAAATGGGGTTCTGATTTACCTCAGCTTGGAGCAGGTCTCGGGAGTTCAATTTGAAACTTGTATGTGAAGCGCGGTCTTGCAGAGGGCTTGCAGCTGCAGCGGGAGTTGATCGTTGCATACGGAGAGTGCGTACCTCGGAATGCTCGGTCGGTCACTACAGATCTCTTTGGTGCACGGTTGTTGCAGTCCAGGGCGATCTTTCAGAAGAAGCTGGAATCACTCTTGTCCGAGTACCCAATGCCCTAGACCCAGACTGGACCGGATGGGCAGAGAGCGATGGGCCACAAGAACTCTCTGAGGCCGGAGTCGATCACCCAGATGAAATTCCGAGAGGCATCGGAGATTCTAACCAAGATGAGTTCCAAGATAAGTGAGGGACTTTCGGAGCTTGGGTTCTGCGAAGGCCTTCGGAAAGCTGGTCCGCGACGCGCAGAAGGCCACCCTGGCAAGGTGCGACGAAGCCAAGCTTGACAGAGAGAATTCACCCAAGCTTCGCCGCCTAACCACAGTTGTACAGGTGGGGCTTTGAGGGCGATTTTGCGGCACAGAACATGATGACGGCCTTTGGCAAGGCACGGTGCCATGCTTGCCAGACGTGCCAAGAGGCAAACTGATATTCACAGGTGGCACATACCCCAGAAGTGTATGAGCTCAGCTTGGAGATCGACAAGCTCCTGCGAATCACATCAGGTGCTGCATGCTTGCTTTCTGAAGCTTCTGCATTGCAGTCAGAACTCGCATGCATGTGCAGGGGTGTGTCATTCGCCAATGTCGGCGCTTTGATTCCACTGGCCTTTGGCTGCAGACAGAGGAACCAGTCAGTGCCCAGGCGTATTCAGGGCTTTGGACGCCTGCGCCGCCATGGATGGCGACCAGCTCCTGTACATGGAGAACGAGCATTACTCCCTTGTCGATGCGCTGCCCTACATAGACACGCAGCTAGGTGCAGCCGAGGTCGCTCAGCAAGTGAAGGCTCTCATTGAGGAGGAGATGACTCAGTTTGATCCGCGCGACTACTTGGCTTCACTTCCAGCACCCACTCTCACCGTGTTGAGCAGCGAGCAAATGCAGCAAGAGTTTGCCAGGGTCAGCCGAAGGGCCCCATTAGGTGCTGTTGATCCAAAGAAATACGAGGTAGAGAAGCCGGATGGCGAGGCAGCTGAAGACGAGGAGTCTTGGAAGTCTGTCTCCGCTACGACGCAGATCAACTTGGAGTATGCCAGAATAAAATCCGTGAACCTCGAGCTCTTGGAGCAATGGGGGAAAAAGGCTTGGATCGCGCACAACATGCTCATTCGTGGTGCCGAAAGAGTCCTCAACAACGAGGCCACCGAGCTTCGTGCTTCCCGTGAGGAGGTGAACAAAAAGCGCAAGCTTGACCAAATCTCTTGCGGCAACGACCTGCGGAAGCTGACTCGCGAGTTTGAGCAGTACCAGCAGGACAACGGTGATGTGGATCGAGCAGTTAGGGATCTTGAGCTCGACATCATGCGCCTGCGGGAAGCCGCCGCAGAGCGGGGCGTTGACATCTCCGATGTGGACCCGCTGGCCAAGCCGCAGGACAGTGAACCCCAGGAGCCGTAGATATGGAGCACTCAGCCATCACAGAGGACTCTGCATGTTCATGCGGAGCAAAAGAACCCAGCTGCACCTGACGCAGAGATTGCCTCTTGTAAGCTGTACCGATTCTGGACCACAGCCTCCGGCTTGAATTTCAGGAGGGATGATTGCAGCCCCTGTGAAGCCCAAGAAGGAGGCTCAGGCCGGGCTTGTTAGCAGACAGTGCTTCCCACCAGGTTGCACGGTTAGCTCATGTAATGTAGGGCTCGTGCCCTTTGCAGGCGAAGGCCACGGCGGCATCTGACGCGAAGGTCGCAGTGCTTGCCACAAGGCGTGAAGCTCTCAAGCCTGGTCGCCAAGCCTCTTTGGCAGGAGAAGTCGGAGAAGCCGAAGAATTCGAAGGTACCAAGCAAAAGTGGTCCCAAACCCCCGGCTGTGGCCTCGACACCTCATGCATGAAAGCGATGTCCGAACCTGCCCATGTCAGGTCGTCATAACGGTACGGCAGGCAGTCGAAGAGGACAACGAGCCTCCGGCACCACTTTTGAAGGCCAGGAAGACTTCACATACTTTCCCTGGCGTTTTTGCCGTGACGTCTGTCGGCAGGTCGCCGTCCCGGCAGATGCCACGATGCGCCGCCTTAAGCAGGAAAGACAAAGACCACGGGGAGCCCATGGGAGCTCAGACAGCGGAGGAAGAGTTTTGCCGGACTCGCGGCAGGCTATTGCTGAGAAGCTGGGCCTGAAGCGCACGGCCTCCCTAAAGCCGGGTTAGCTCAGAGTCAGAGTAGTCACGACAGAGTTTGGAACCGTACATGATTGTGGTGGTCCTTGAAAGGCTGGTATTTCATCTGGACTCTCGGGCCATGACCTCTGTACATCAGCAGCAGTGATCTTGCCGTTTCCTTCATGGCAGAGAACCCTAGCTGACGCCTTGTCCGAGTTGCGGAAATCGAACATGCCTGAGAGTGGCATGACCTTTGCGCGCGGAGCACAGTCAAGTATAGTTGTCATTCACTCTGTCATTTTCTACCCAACTCGGTTGGAAATTCGCCTTAATATCGCGTTACATGAGGTCTTTCAAAGACGACGAACTTATCGGTTCGCGCCGAGAAGTCCTGCTGCAAGCGCCTGAAACAGCGCCTTGCTGCCTCTTCAGCCCTCTTTAACGTAGAGGCGCGCTTTTCTGCAGGTTGGGAGCGGACCTCCGTGATGTGGTGCTCGCGACCTGTTGAGATGGGCTTCGTCCCCTCGTCTGCACCACCGTGCCAGGCAGAGGTTCGGGTGGAGCTGAGCGGTGTACCACAGCTCCCTGACGGAACGGCCCAGCTGGCATGGAGAATGCAGCTAACTGCTCGTTCTCAGCTTGAGGGTAATTATAGCTGGGCTGTACAGCTGTCAAGCTTCTACAGTTGCAGGTGGTTGTTTTCGTTTCGCAGTCCGCTACCTTGCGGGAGGCTCGCTTTATGACTGACGGAGATTTCCAGAGTGATTGTGTGTCTGACTCATCTTCAGCTATCTTCAGTTGTGGGCACCTGTTTCTGGAAGGTCAAAGAAGCAGCGGCACGCAAGCTGTTGGGCAAGGAGGTCTGCGCAAAGCACGGCTAGGCTAGAACGGAGGCCCTCCCTCGCCAAACCCAGTGCATTGAAGGCTGAAGAGCCGACGGCCGCCCGAATCGCGGAGGTGCAAGGGCAGGGCATGCGTTCGGTATGCTGTCTGCCAAGTCTCGAGTTTCATCAACAAATGTGAAGCTGGCATTGCAGAAGGATAGAATACATGCATGGCAGCCTCGGCTCAACGGGGGGGTGGGTCGTCGGTGCCTAAACTGCCCCCCAAGCAGTTTCTCAAGCGCAGCAATGGCCTTGGCTTCAGCCTCAGCGCTCTGGAAAGGCTTTGATCTCCAACCTTTCCGCCATCCGATGTTTCTGAGGCAGTGCGCCAGCCTGGGACGGACAAGTCGCAGCAGGTTGAACCTGCCTTTACAAGGCCATACTAGTACCGAGCGACACAACTAGGGATTGCAAATCGTCATGCTTCCTCCTGTGATGAACTGAATAGTATGCAGGCGCAGCGTCACTGGACGTCACATGTTGAGTAGCAGGGGCGGCAATCAGCATCTATTGTTCAGATACTGTTCAGTTATTGCATGGTCGGTGGAGATCGTGGTGGTGCTAGTGCTGGTGCAAGCAGTAGCCGGTAACAACACGGCCGCGGTGCAAATACCTCTCTCTCTCTCTCTACTAGAATCTATCTCTATCTCTCTCTTGTCTTATCAGCAGCACTCTGTTTACCATGTTGTGTTCTCGCAGGGAGCGCTTGTCCTACGAGCTTGCATACAAGACTGATGAGCAGAAGGACCCATGTTCGCTCTTCGCTTGGCTGATCAGCATCCCACGTTCTTCAGGCACTGGCAATTTCCGACCTCGCAGCGAAGGACCGATTGAACTCTGCAAGTGGTAACGGCCGGTCATGAGTATGCCTGCAGGGGGAAGCCCTGGTGGTTTCTCACCTCGTGGGAGACTTACCCGCGCAAATGCCTTGCGTCAACCTGCTGTTGAAAGCATCCTTCAAGCATCCGAGCATCCCAGAACTGTGAGAGGACTACATCGTCTCAGAGCTGCAGCGAAGCCCGAGTTCGGAAATGAAGCAAGCAGCTCGTTTCTCAGTCTTTCAGTTGTGAACCTTTACATGGTTGACTTGCTGAAATTAACTTGTGGTTTGGCGCATCTGCAGATTTGCAAAGCAGTCATTGCTGCCGGGCCAGCCGCGACTGCATTCTACCACGCCGATGGCTCGTCTTGCTCCATCCCAGAAGTTTGAGGGTTGCTTGAGAGACCGATGCTGAAGGAAATCGCCACCTTGATCAGCGACAACAACCCGGAGGCAACCGCTCGCAGTCACAGCAAACACCCGCACTTGGAGACCTTCGGAATTGCCAGGTCCGCTACTGGGGCTGCCTGGCTGTCGGGACGATGGGAAGCTCTGCATCAGGCCACTGCACATCACCAATCTTGTGGTTTGCTGTCGCTACTGTGACAGGCTTTGATTCTTAGGATTCTTACCTGGTAGTTTCTGTCACCATCGTCGTGGCCAATCATTGCCATTTCACCGTTGTCATCATCACCGACAGCAGCATCACCACCATCCCATACTCATTTTAAGCGTTTCTGCTGTAACTAACTATGCTGCTGAGGCGCGGGCTTTGTTGGCAAATTAGCATTTTCATTTGTCATTGTCTTTCTCTGAATCCTTGCCTGCAGCCTGCAGCCACAGGAGCCAAGCGGCAAATTCGGAGCCTTCTCCAAGACTCCTCCGAAGCAGTCCGCTTTGGTGCCTGCTCTGCTCTTGGCGGCATGAAGGCAGGGCATGTTCATGGTAAGTTTGACGGACATCGAGTTCTGAAAGTGCACAGCATTGCAAATCAAAGCCCACTCGGTAAAGGTGTGTTGCAGCACGGACTTCCAGCATTGCTGTCTTCCTGCGCTTCTGTGCAGGCTGAGGACTGCATGGAGGACTTGAAAGAGAAGCTTGCGGCTGCCTCCTGAGATACAGCAACATGACGAAACATGCAGCCTGAGTTCAAGCAACAGTTTCCTTTTTGCTTCTGCCAGGATCCATCTCCTGAAGTGCAGGGGGCTGCTTGCCTGGCGCTGGGGCAACACCGGCCAGTTCAGCTCATGATGAAGCGAGCAGCACGCTTGGTCAAAGATTTGAAAGCAGGAGAATGGGAGTAGCCGGAACAAAGTACGCCGAGATGATTGTTCCGAAGCCTGGGACCCACACACGCGTGTACTGTACTGTTGCAACGAATCGCTGTGAGACGTGGCTTTCCTAGGCTAAGCGAGCCTCGCTCTCGTAGCGATGCTCTCAAAGCTCTCGCCCTCATGGGACCAGAAGGCCTCCGCCTGAGCTCATGCTATGCCTCCTGTCAACGTCTCTCTCCTCCCTTGCTTGGCTTTCAGTCTGCTTGTGCAAACACGTGCACCGGAGGCAGCAAGTATTGCGAGAAGGTTGTCGAATGCCTTTGCGATGAAGACGCTGAAACTCGCGCCCTCGCAGCCTCAGTGGTGGAGCTGGCACGTCAGTCCAGCCAGTGTGCCTTAGTGCCAGCAGTCCGGCCAGGTCGGAAAGATGTCGGAGTATGTGAAGGATGCCGGGATCGTAGTACACCTTTGCCGCAGTTGCGTTCTTTGAAGCGCTTCTAGCAACTTGAAGCATCTGGGACTAAGACTCCCGCGGCCATGAACCGCATACTCGACCTCGCGAAAGATGAGGATCTCCGGCCGGCAAGAACTTACTGCAGGGTCCACAACAAGTCGAAAGATAAGGTATGTCTTGATGCCACAGCAACAAGGGGAATCAACTGTTCTCACACTTGCAGGATGCTCTCTGTAGCTAGCCTCGTGGCTGTGAAAAGGATCTACACGAGTTTCTCTCGCTCTGACTGTCTTGGTGATGGGGCTCCGATGCAGGATGGCCGGAAGCGGCTCGCTGCAGTTCTTGCGCTGGGTGCCTTGACAGCAAGAGCTTAGCGTCATCGCTTTGCTCTGCGGAGAATGCGGAGATGTTCTAATGCGGAGTGGTGACACAATGTGAGGCTACATGGGCCGAGATGCGGCCTCGCACAAAGGGCTCATCCAGGCTGGCGTGGAACGCACGTCGAGTTCTGCCACAAGTTGTCCCCTTTGTCATCATTTCTGATGTACCTTCGCGTGGCTCTGGCATGCTCTGCCAAGCGGCGGGTAGGACTGCTTGCTGGATGAGTTCGAAGAGGACGCAGAAAATGCACTCACACAAGGCTGAACTCGAGTCCATGCAGAGTGCCAAGTGAAGAAGTCACTTGAAACACGTGGAGGTGGCTGCAGAGGCCGACTGCCTCCTTCTTGCAGAAAAGCCAAATGCGCCGCAGCTGTTCCAGTCTTACTTGCTTCAAGATCCTCTGAGTGCCGTTGTATTTTCCTCTGGGCGAGCTTGTCTTTCGGATCTTTGAGGCAGCGTTGGCGCGCATCGCATCCCAAGAACAGGGATACGGATGGGAATCCACAGCTACAGATGTCGCAAGGCTGCGGGGCTGTAAAGGATTGCGTTGAGACCTGGGAAAGGGGCTTCTTCTTGCGTCCTGGTCGAGGCTACTGAGTAGCGACGATTGGGAGGTGAGGCTTTGTGCCCTTGAGTGTTTGACCGCCCTCGGTCTCACTCGCCTGATTCACAGCCCGCAGTTGGGGTTTGTAGTTCATGCATGCCTCTCTGCCGGTTCAGCGATGCCAGGAAGGAGAGCACGGGAAAACACGGACAAGGCCGGCGCCATTGTAAGTAATTGAAAAATAAGATGAAGCCTGCCGTCGCATTGTATTTCTGTCAGGTGGTTGGCCAGCTGAGCGATGAGAAGTACATCATCCGTGCAAAGGCACCGCACCTAAATGTCGCCTTTCGTGCTCAGCAATCACAGCCAGGCCGCCACCGCGCTGTCCAGAATAGGGGAGCTTGAGAGCATCGGCCTCAACAAGCTTTCCGAGCTTCTGAAGGACGGAGCAAACGCGCCAAGTCGCCAGACTTTTGCCTCGGCTCCTCACGGACAGGACACGTGTCCTGCGGTGAAATCAGCTGCAGCTCTGGCACTGGCCGAGACGGAGCCTCAGAGCCTCAATTCTCTTTACTACGTGCGGTACTCTATGCATTTGTTCATCGCGGTACTTGTTCTTGCGACAAGCCGCAAACCAGGCTGGGTGACGATGGAGCAGAGTATTGCAACAAGGCCCCTTTCCGTCGAGGGGAGGTATACGGTCTCAAGGACATCGCTTGGCTGCTAGGTTTTCGACCTCTTAACTGACATCAGCGCAGATGTCCGAGCGTCTGCTGTGACTGCGCTCTCGAAGATGAGTGATAAAGGTGAAGACCTCAGCTCCAAGGAATCGCGATGTGGCTTAGTTTGCTGCAGGTACAAATCAAAGCGGTGGTGACGGGCCACCTAGGACACACACAGCAATCAGCTTAGTGAGTCTTCAATCCCTTCACAAACTTGAAGGCGACTGGCTAAGCCTAATCGTCCACGGGCAAGCCTGAACACTTTCAGTGCATGACACGCATGACCATCTGATACCAACTAGACCCCCTCTATCCGGCGAGGAGTGTTGAAGTGGTAGACGTTGCACGGGACCGACCGACCCGTCGCTGCACCCACACATGCGATCGCCAGCCCGGAACATGATGCTATGCTCTCAGCCAGCAGCATGAGACTGGAAAGCATTGATCATGGCCACGTACTCGAAAGCACTGCCAGTAGAGAAACGTGCTCGGCAAGCAACAACGTGCGGGTCACAACGGGATGTTCTGCGGAGCAGGTGTTACATCATGCTGGTTTCATCAGACCCACCAACCCTGAACCCTCGCTGGGTTCAGATCAGTGGTAATCCTGTGTCCTGAGCAGAATGAAGCCAATACAAAGATATTATGAGCCATGCCATCTGCGCAAAAACAGCAAACGTGTTCGCATGCAACATGCGTTCCCACACCATCGCTTGTCATTTTGTGGGGTTGTGCTGTGGTGACACCAAACACGTGTTCACGCTTGAACATCTTTCTGGTGCAAGATGTAAGGAATGCAAGGGTTTGGGCTGTACCTTCCTCTTTGCATTTCTTTGGTGAATTACGGGATCACTTTGTTCCCTTTTGTGCAGCGTTTGTGCAGGAAAGTCTTTCTGTAGAATGTACCGGGAGACCCTTGCCCAAACTTGCCACCTTACCTCCCTTCGCACATGGGTTTCAGGCCCGTGGTTTAGGGTGTTGGGTGTTCTTCACGACCTTCAGTGTCACAATAATTCTGATTCTATACTGACCAGCTTGAGGGATCGCACTGGCGTTTCGACATATATGACCACGCGCCCCACATCTGCAACAGTGTTCCTTTCGGCGGCGTATCGAGGCATCAACGTGTGACCTCACGTGGCAGTTACAGAGGATTTACGTGCAAGTCGGCAGTTTGCCACTGTTTCTCGCCAACTTGGTTTGTGTGTGAATGCATCATATGTAAATGTGTATATGTATATGCATATAGAGACATACCCATGTACCCACATGTGCCGCCAAGCGTGCCAGTTTTTGCCAAGCGATTTTGCTTCGCTGTTGCATTTGGGTGCCGAGGCCGGTACTTCACCACCGTCATAGCTCAGAGATTAAAGACAGAAGGAGAAGACCCGAAAGTCCGTGTGGCAGCCGGGGCCTGATGTTATGGCCCAGGCCGCTTCAAGTGCACAGCCGTGTGGAAGTCGAGAGCCGATTCACAAGGCCATGGAGGCCCTCTCGGCTCTCGAGGCACGACACTCCTGGAGCAAGCAGCACAACTTCAAGTAGCAAGACGGTGGGTGGCAAGGAGGTCGAAACTTCAGAAATTGAAGATTGCCGCAGGAGCGAAGCCTGAACTTCCTGGACCTCATCAAGCAGCACCAAAGGGAGCCCTGCTTCATGATGTCGTGGTTATTTGTACCCGCCTCTTGTGAAAGAAAATCTCAACGGAAGAGCTCCTCCTCCCGTCACTAATTTGCTTCAGCCGCCTCATCGTTCACAAGACCAATACTGGTGGTGCCTGTAGCAATGGGCAAGTCGAAGTGGAAGCAGTAGTAACAGTAGCAGGAATCGTCGACGTAGTAGTAGAGTAACAAGGTGCTTTGGTAGCGGCAGTGGTACTGGGAGAAGTCATGGTGGTGAGTGGTGATAGTCGTCGTCGCCGTGGAGTAATCGTTAGCAGCGGCAGCAGCAGGAGCAGGAGGAGGAGTTGGAGTGGAGCGGGATTGGGAGTTGGAGTGGGGGTAGGAGTGTTAGCAGAGGTACCAGTACAGTAGCAGTAACAGCGTAGTAGCTGTCACAGTCGTCGTCGTTTCATTCGTCGTAGTCGTGGGAGTAGGTGTTGCGGTTGCAGGAGCAGGAGCAACGGCATCGTTGGTGATTGTTATGGCGCTGGCACTAAAAGCAGCAGTACGGACCAGTCCAGTACTGTCAAGACGCATTGTTCTTGCGTTGCAGGACGAAGTCCCAAGCGTTCGGGAGGCTGCAAACAAATGAACTGCCGACTCGATTCGAATCTGTTGCAACGGCATTGGGTCAAAGTCTGAGATCGCAAGTTCTTGGCTGGCCTTTCAGTGGAGTTCGAGATCTGAATCTGAAATAACCCACCAAGCGGCACAATTCACAATTCGCCAGCGATCGAAAGTGTGTTGTAGGGGTACATGCATGTTCATGTGCACCACTGTCCAGCCCAGCCGACAATCGCCAGGTCTAGGACGCCTCGGACAAGGCGGCTACGGTGCGATCCAGGACAGCCACAGCCTTTTTATCGTCTTGCTTTTCTACTCCCGACACGCTTAGGTTGTGCATGTCAACATGCCAGCCGATTACAATGAGCAGAAGTTTCGTGTGTTCGATAGATTTGCGAGTGCGATTCGAAGGACAACGGTGATGAGGAGTGAGCTAGTGGCCATTAGTGCTGCAGGGCTGCAGGGTAGGTGCTACAAAGCGAAGCATGTTTGATGGTATAACGCTCTTCCAGGAGACGTACGATTAGGAACTGCTTGCTGCTTCTAGCTGCCAGCTTGCCAGCATGGGCAAAACAGTATACAGTCCATCGAAGTCAGCAGCACGCATTCTGCTGCCCGTCGATGTGCTAGCTGTTTCTTTTGCCGTGTACTTCTGAGCTCATTTTCGTTGCATCGGCGGGCGAGAAAAGGTTTTGCCACTGCCTGACCCGTGGGGCCGGAGCAAGCGTCGGGAGCTTGTCTTTTGTCCGAACTCGCAGGTGACGTCAGCTGGGATGATGGCGGGAACCATCGGAGACTCCATAGCCTTGGACTTGCTGCAGCAGGATCCTCAGTGCCGGTACTCAACGACACCGGAGCCGAAGGACAAGCAGCGTAGCGAGGACACAAGTTCCGCAGACGGGGAGCATCTTTCCAACAGCGTCTTCCATGTTGCGCTGGCTCCAAGGGACGATCTGCTTCTGAAGGGCCGACAGAGGCACACCTCCGATTAAAGCTTCTGGCTAATGAACCTCTGTCTTTCTCTCTCTCTCTCTCTATCTCTCCCTCTCCCTCTCTCGACATGTCGCGATGGGGAACCGGGCGCAAGAGGATCCACTGGCTCAGCGCTGCATTGGCCCAAGATCTGGTCCCGAAGGCTTGGGCTGTCCTTGTAATTAGCTTTCGATCTTTTCCTGCATCGTTGAGGCCTCCGAGATCACAATCCTGGAGCAGGCGGAGCAGCAGGGATACGAGGAAGAGGCCATTGCGCATGAACGTGGGTGGCATTGGGCAGCGCACGCTCGAATTTTTTTTGTGCAGGAGCATGAAGGCCTCACAGAGAATGCGGAGGTCATCGAGGATGTGGAGGCCAAAAGCCATGCTTCCACATGACATTTCGCGGGTTGGGTGGTCATTGTCTTGCCTGCTCGAACCTGCAAACCTGCGATCGCTTGCTTGCCAAACTTGCAACACAACTGCTGTACATGCCAGGATGCCACTTGCAACTGCAATCTGCCTCCCGATATCTTGCGGTCTGCCGTGATCTTCCACTTCCTCTCAGGATGCCGAGCCAGAAGAAGCAGAGAATGCCACTGAAGCGACGAGCTTACTCTGTTTGTTGATCCGTCTGTAAGCCTGTCTGTGTCATGTCATCTTCCTCTGGTTCTCCGTCTCTCTCTCCGTACCCCTCTGAGTCTTTTTCGTTATTTTCCCCATCTGTGCCTCAGATGACCCTGGAAGATGTACGCATGTACCAAACGTCTGCTTGCAAGGAGCCATTGCTTTCAGAACTTGCTGAAGATTGCCCCGAAGATGACCAGCAGGCAGGTGGGTTGTCTGCAAATGCAGGTGCAGAGTCAGAGTTCCCATGTAACCGGGTGCTGTCAAGGACCCTACAAGTCCGAACCTCCCTCGAGACACACGCGCACGCACGCACGCACGCACGCACGCACGCACGCACGCACGCACGCACGCACGCACGCACGCACGCACGCACGCACGCACGCACGCACGCACGCACGCACGCACGCACGCACGCACGCAACGCACGCACGGCACTCACGCACGCACGCACGCACGCACGCACGCACGCACGCCACTCACGCAACGCACGCACCACGCACGGCAACGCACTGCAGACGCACGGAGCACGCACTCCGCACGCACGCGCACGCACGCACGCCTGCACGCACGCACCAAAACGCACCGCACTCACTCACAATCGCACGCGCACCGCGACGTCAACTCACTCACGCACGGGTCACTCACTCACTTCACGCACTCACGCACCACCACTCACGCCCGCCCGCACTCACTCACTCGGCACGCACGACTCCCACGCACGCACGCACTCACTCTACACGCACTCACTGCACTCACGTCACTCCACTCACGACCACGCACAGCACGCACGCCACATCACGCACTCACCACTCAACATCACCGCACAGCACTCACACGCACGCAGTCGCACTCACCACGCACACGCACTCAAGCGCACTCACTGCACGCACGCACGCATCTCACGCACTCACGCCGCACTCACGCAAGCTCCGCACGGCACTCACGCACGCACGCACGCCAACGCACGCCTCACGCACGCAGCACGCACATCACGCACATCCACGCACACTACTCACTCACTCACGCACTCACGCACGCACGCCACAGCACGCACGCACTCACTCACGTCACGCACGCCGCACTCCCTTCACGCACGCACGCACGCACTCACTCACTCACGCACGCACGCACGCACTCACGCACTCACTCACGCACGCACGCACGCACGCCCGCACGGCACGCACTCACGCACGCACGCACGCACGCACGCACTCACGCACGCACTCACGCACTCACGGCCCGCACTCACGCACGCACGCACCAATCAACGCACGCACGCAGCTCACTCCCACTCATCGCACGCCACGCACTCACGCACGCACAACCACTCACTCACCACGCACGCAACGCACTCACTCCGACGCACGCACTCACGCACGGTCACTCACATCACTCACCCTACACCTCAGCACGCACTCACCGCACTGCAACGCACTCACTCACCCCGCACGCCTCACGCACTCACGCACGTCACGCACGCACGCACCGCACGCCCCTCCACGCACGCACGCACTCACTCGCACAACATGCACGCACTCACAGCACGCCCCACACGGCACGGCACTCACTCACGCACTCACTCACGCACGCACGCGCACGCACTCACGCACGCACGCACGCACAACACGCACGCACTCACCCTCACGTCACGCACCACTCACGCACGCACGCACTCACGTCACGCTACTCACGCACCACGCACTCACGCACGCACACGCACCGCACCACACTCACGCCCACGCACGCACCTCACTCACGCACGCGACGCACCTTCACCATCACGCAACGCACTCCGCACGCCGCACGCACGCACGCACGCACGCACGCAACTCACGCACTCACGCACGCACGCACCACGCACGCACTCACTCACTCACGCAACGCACTCACTCACCCGCACGCACCACGCACTACCCGCACCTCACGCACTCACTCACTCACGCAACTCACGCACCTCTACGCACGCACGCACTCACACACTCACTCAACGCACGCACGCACGCACGCACGCACGCACGCACGCACGCACGCACGCACGCACGCACGCACGCACGCACGCACGACGCACGCACGCACGCACGCACCACGCACACACGCACACACACACACACCACGCACGCACACACACACACACCCACACACACACACACACACACACACACACACACACACACACACACACACACACACACACAACACACACACACACACACACACACACACACACACACACACACACACACACACACACACACACACACACACACACACACACACACACACACACACACACACACACACACACACACACACACACACACACACACGCACACGCACACACACGCACACAGACGCACACAATCGCACACAGACGCACACATATGCACACATACGCACACATACGCACACATACGCACACATACGCACACATACGCACACATACGCACACTTTCACTTTCACTTTCCTCGTAGCAGAAGAGTGCTTTCTGCGAACGTCGATGAGGGACAAGCGTATCGCTCGGCCTTCGCTGTGCATTTGCACATCCCCCCAGCAAACACTAGCCTAACTCCCGGCACGTATGCCCATATGCAGAGTTAGCAGCCTTCTTTATAAAAGAACATGTAAGCATCATAGAAACAGTTCTCAGGATTGGTACAAGTACGAAACACAACATTGTCATCAGCAGTGCAGAAAGAGCTATCACAATGATTGTACATCAGATTGAAGTAATGGCCGCTGTCTGGGGAGTCTCCATGGTGTATGATCATAGAGCAAAGCTGGTACTTCTTCCACTGGATGGTGCCATCATGTGCAAATCCCGGGATCTCAATCTCAGGACAAGGTCTAATGTAGTATCTGCGCTTATTTGCACGATTGCCACCAATCCCGAAAGCAAAACGTCCAGCTTGGAACACTAAGGCCGGGGGCCAAAACACTAGTGCATGTACATCCGTCTGTGCATGCCACGCCAAAATCATGCCCTGAACAGTCTGTTCACTCGATGACTGTTCGCCCGCCAACTCAGATGGTTGAAGCAGCAGGGGGGCCGACTGGCCTTCATCCTGTACTCGCCAGTTGGAGCCTCTCGTGCGTGCCTGCCACGGAGTTGCTAGCTTTTGCATCGTAGATGGCATTCTGTCCAGGACATGCATAAGGAACTCCGCCACGTCGTGTTGCATGTGCGGATTCCTCCATTTCCCCATCTGAGCACGCCAAAAGGGGTTGTTCCACATATGAACCGTTCCTTTTGCATGCAAAAGCCCCATCAAGTGATCAAGCATGATCCCCTCAAACAGCTGCTGCGGTCCACCCATGCAGTCTGCCAAATGTAGCAGACTGCGAATCGTAGCATTGCTGTAGCAGAAGTTGCCTCTGTTGCCAAGTTTCAGTTCAGCGACTTGACCAGCACGGCCAATCGCTGTGCCAGTGGGCTGCGCTGAATCCTTTCTTGGCGCAAGTAGACTCCCGCCGCCACCCAGATCGCCGATTGTGCCAGCTTCCGAAGACGATGCCATGTTGCATGAGCCGAGTCCGTGCGAAGGCCTACCTCCAGCAGCATGGTGAGTGTCGGCGACTGGTACTGCTCGCTCAGCGGCCTTGTGGCATGATACCTCGCTACCACCATGGGCTCCTTGATCAGCTGCACCAGCTCGTCCAACGCCTCCATGGCTTCCGAAACGGGGATGGGCGGGACCTGATCGTCCTTGACATGCCTGCGAGCTTCGTTGTCCCATCGCAGGCCCATGATCATCTGCTCGTCCGTGCTGAGCCACCCCAGGGACACCGCCGTGGATCGAGACGACGGCGTCTCGAGCATCTTCACCGCCCTTTCCCGCACCGTAACCAGAAGATGCTGTAGCAATGTCGTCCTCATCGGCGCCTCCAGCTTCTCCGGGGTGTTGCTCTTTACCGAATGCCATTGCTGGGCCAGCTTGTAGGTGCTCGTCGCCACATTGTTCGGCACATCGGTCTTGAGGAACACCACAAATCCTGTGTCCAAACGGTGCAGACAGTGTTGCGATTCGTGACGAAGGATGAGAGCCGTCAGAAGCTTGACGATGTTCTTCAGCTCCGAGTGGTCCACCTCCTCCTCGTCGCCCTCCTGGTCGTAGTTCCACTCGTCCTGTCCCGTCATCTGATTCCCGTGCTGATGCTTGCCCCAGGAGCTCCATGATGCTTTTGCCCGTCCCTGCTTGCCCTGCTTGGGTCCCTTGTTGTGACCTTTTCCTTTTCCTTTGGGTTGGGTCTTTCCTTTGGCGCCCTTGTGCTCCGGTTTGTGGAACTTGTTGGCCTGGTAGTCCGGATTGGCCTCGTGATTCGCCTCGAACCAGCTGTGGCTCGCTGATGGAGTCGCCTGTTCCAAAACACTCGGTGGCGCCAGGGCCCTCAAGAGATCCAGCTCCTGCGTGGCAGCATTCAAGCCTCGCTTGTGCTTTTCGACCTCCATGGCAATCATGGCCGCCATCGTCAAGGGACTTGAGAGGTGGGCCTCGAGCTATTCGTAAGTAGAGGTATACCCCCTGGAAGATCCCGACGCAGGTTTTCAAGTGAGCATCTCTTCTCTGGAATGTCTGTCCACAGAACTGACAGGGATTTTGCAAGCTAAGTTTGCTGGCAATGATCAATCGTTCAGCTTCATACACAAGAGGGGCCTGAGGCTTGTGTCGCGACAACATGTGTCGTTTTACGTATTGCGTGCGGACATGCCATTGATGACACTCCGGGCAGTGCTGATGATTTGCGCGCACAAGTGGGTGCAGAGCCAGCGTCTCCCAGGAACATGACTTCGCCTCTTCAAGGATAACAGTGTTTTCCACTATGGCTTCACTCAGGTGCAAAATTGGGTCCAAAGATGCCTCTGCTTCCGCCAGCTGTCTGAGGGTGGGGCAGCTCTTCGTGTTCACATGGTAGTAGAATGCATGCCATGTGGTGAATGCATACCCGCAGTGACGGCATTGAGGCATCCCATGCAGTGAGTGTTCCATGACTTGAGGCTGCACATAGCGCCTGGGTTCCGCCAGGCGTTGCTGCTGTTGCTCTTTCGTCAAGTGTGTTCTATACTCATGTCGTCGCAGTGCAGCCTGTGAAATGAAGCTTTGTCCACACTCATCACACTTGAATCTTTCACTCAACACCTGATCAACCAGATGCAGTTTGCACTTGGACACCGTCTGATGAGTGGGTATGGTCACCTCACGC